GGGGAGGTGGGGGGAAGGAGGGGATGTGTCAGGATAAAGCTGTGATACATTTTCTGTAAAAACAGCGAAAAATAATCCCAAGAGCTGTACTGAAAATTCTCCGTATTTTGTGCTGTGCACTTTTATCTGTTTCAGTTTCCTGACCTTTTCAGATCCTTCCCTTTCTGTCTTAATTTGACAACTGTGGAGAATCAGTAGATGTATTTTATTTTCAAGTCTTTCAAAAATTAATAAAATTCTGGATTATTTTAGCACAAAATACTTTAGGATGGGCTTCACTGTGTCAGACTGGACTATCATATTACACAGTAAAGCGTCTGAGTGCCAGAAATGCCTTGTATTTCTGAAGAGCAGTTCTGAGGGACACCTTTTATACTTCAACATTTTATTTTGCTCCCTCTCTCCTTTGTTCAGTAGTGAGTAAGAAATTCCATTTCCGTTTGCCGTATCATTTTTCCTTAATGTTTTGGGAGGTTTTGCAGCTATTTCATATGTTTATCGTGGAAGTTATTTTCAGTTCATTATTTTTGTGTGTGTGTTTTCAGCTGTTGAACGAGCTGAGCGTTGTGGAGGCAGAGCTGCTGCTGAAGTCGTCCAGCCTGGCAGGAAGCTACACCACGGGGCTGTGTGTCTGCATCGTGGCCGTCCTGCGGCGTTACCATGCCTGCCTCATCCTCAACTCTGAGCAAACAGCACAAGTCTTCGAAGGGTTTGTGGCAGCTACAATCTTCCAAAAAGTATTTTTGGTGTTCTCTCTTAAGCAAAAAAACCCATGTGTTTAGGTTCAGGTTGTGAGACTATTGGAAGGCTGTAAGTGAGCTCAGGTGAACGGAGGGGATGGCTCACCCCTGCAGCCTTCTCCCCACTGCTGGGGGCTGGTGGGATCTGGATCTGGAACCGGGGAAATGTGGGGGAGTTTTGTGTCTTGATTTCCTACCCGCTCTCCCCGTTCTGCCCTGGGCTCTCCAAGTGCCTCTGTGTCCTCTCCTCCCTGGGGCCCAGGCAAGCACACAGGTGACCCCAAACTTCACGTGAGCCCTGTCAGCCCGTAGACACAAAGTCTGTCATCACATTGCCCAGCTAATGGTGGGGTCTATATGGTACATAACAATATGAGATGCGTTTCTAAGGCGTGATGGAACGAACTCAGGATGGTTTTATTTTTGCAGGTTGTGCGGGGTGGTAAAGCATGTCGTTAATCCCTCAGAGTGTTCCTCCCCAGAAAGGTGTATTTTAGCTTACCTCTATGACCTGTACGTCTCCTGTAGTCACCTGAGAAGCAAGTTTGGAGACCTCTTCAGGTGGGTGGCAATGGGATTTTTCTCACCACTGCCTAGCCTGCAGACTGATGCAAACTGCTTGTGGTTTCTGTTCACTCTGCTTTCCGTGGAAAATTCGCCCTTGCCTTTGCTGCTTTACCTTTACTGCTGCAATTCCCTTGCCTGTGGCAGCACAGCATGTGGTCCTGAGCTGGTGAAGCCCTCGTGCTGTGCGGGTACCTGCGGTGGAGGAGCAGAGGCTGAGCCCTCCTCGCGGGCTGCGGTTGGCTTTGTGGTTTGCCAAGGGTGAGGGAAGCGGGGACCATCGGTGGTGTCTGCACCGTGCAGCCCTGGATCCCTCCCCACACCCCTTTGCTTTCGCAGATTGGGATGTGACTGATTGGATTTCTAAAATGCAGCAGCAAACTGGCTGTAATACATACAGCGCTGGATGGAAAAATAACAAAATCTTAGCTGACGCAGCTGTAATATTCCATTAAATACTTCCTTTGATGTGGGGAGAGGCACAAACATGTTTGAGTTTGTGAAGTTTTGTGCTCGAATGTTCAGTTCCTTGATTTTTAAATTAAAAAAATATTTTAGGTACCCATATGCTGTATTTTTGGCTCTTACTTTTTAAAGGGGGAGTGGAAGCCTTTCATATGGAAATGTGCGTCTTGTGAGACTTACAAACCACTTCAGTTACTGTTTCCCCTCCTAGTTTATATACCTGGTTTTGGTTTGTGTGTTTCAGATTTGTGGTTTTTGTTTAATAGGGAGCAGGAAAAGAGTTCTCAGCAATAATCTTAATATTTTAATAGGTTTACAAACACATGGGAACAGTAGCATTTAATATGAGAAGCACTAGGAAAAAGAAATATGAAATAGAGAACTACAGAAGTGTCTTAGCTGTATGCTCATTTTTCCACTTAAAAACTGAAGTTCAGTAACGCAATAAAAATTAACACTTTTATTAATACTAATCTACAATAGCAAATCAAAACATCATCTGGTAATATAGTGATATTTAAGTTCTAAATCATATATTAAATATGTGATATATAGCACTTGATTTGAAGCTCTCTTTTTTCAGAGTAGAGTTAGAAATTTTCTGAAAACTGGTAATAAAATTTATGTATATGTTTTTTAGACAGCTGTTTTAGACATGCCACATAAAGCACTAGAGCTAGACTCATTTTCTTCTCGGTTTCCTTGATACAATGGAAGCAAAACCAAACCCAGTTGCCTGTACGCAGCAACTTTTTTATCTTCTTTTTAGCAAACTGTAAGTCCAGCTATTTCTCTCTCTCACTAAGTCAATTTGACACGACCATAAAGTACAGTTCATAAATGTTCAAATTTAGAGACTTACCTTCTGTATATTGCAGTGCTTCGCAAATGGCTTTTGGTATCATCTGCAGTGTTAGTTGTGACTGGGTTTTACTAAGCGAGCTGCACGTTTTGGTTTAGTGTGCTTGGTATATTTAGTTGTATTCCCTAAACTTCCTTTTTTAAAATAATTCCTTCGCTTTTGTTTTTAAAATCTTATCTTCTGGCCACTCCCCCAGCATTACTTCTTGTGCAAGTACAGTTTCAGAGGCTGCTTTGCTCACGTGCTCAGTAGTGTATTGTTTGGGTTTTGGACCTTTATTTCTGTGGCCCGTGGGGTAGGTGAAGGTAGAAGCTGTGACGACTGAGTGTCGGGGACATATGTGTGTCCAGGGTGCCTGATGTTTGAGGTCTGGGGTATTTATTTTCCACTGGTTGGCTTGCTTTCTCTGCTGTTACACAGCCTGTAAATTCTTGTAAATTAATTATCCTGTGTCTGGCCTCTTTCTCCTGCACTGGAGCATCCTGGTGAGGAGCTGTGATGTGCAGGGGCTGCGCAGTGACAGGGTGTCCCAGGGCTGCCCTCCGAGCCCTGCGCCAGGCGTTGCTGCGCACATCGCACTCCTTCCTCAGGTGGCAGATACTTTCAAGGTGACACAGTGCTTCCTCTGTCTTTTCTTCCTGGGGCCAGTGGAGTTCAAAAAAAATTCCTAAGGTTTCATGTATTTTAATTTTATATTGATTAATGGCTATATATTTTTTTCAGTAATGAGGAAGTCTTCCTAGTTGGGATAATTAGCGAAATTTGTCCATGTGGATGTTGTTTCCAGCTGTGGTATAAAACTCAATGCTTGAGACAAACGTGTGAATTTTGCATTCTTCACTAGCACCTTCTTTTTTTCCCTTGAAGAATGTCAGTTAACATATAGGCATTCCTTGCCTGGAACATTTCTTGACCTTTGTCATAATTTGTAATGTCAAAATGTGACCTTTAAGTATCTTTTTTCCATTTACTGATTTCATCTTTCAAAAAGTTGTCTTTTATGTCACATTATTACCAAATGCAGAGTTTTAATTTAGATGGTTTCTCATTTTTCCCTAATTAATTCTTCTTTCCACCACTGCAGCTCACTGTGTCATAATGCTGCTCCCCTTCTTTATGTGTTAGGAAGCGCTGTTACAGTTTGCTGCAGAAGCATTGATGCTCTAGGAAGTTATTGCTTGTAAGGAATGAATGTGTGGTCCTTATCCACCTGCTCACAATTTCAGTCATAGAAATGTCATAGGAGCAGTTTGGAAATTTGAGACTTTACTACAGGAAAACTTGAATGAAACAGATGTATGAGCCTTATTTTCTGGTAGATGCTCCTTATCAAAAATGAGTTTGAAAATGTGTACAGAATGGTAACCAAACCAGGATTTTTTTAATCCCACACGGTATGTTCAACAGCACTCCTGCAAAGTACATTTTTTGGAAACACTCTCTTTTTTTCATCCTCAGTAGTGCCTGTTCTAAGGTGAAGCAGACGATATACAGCAATGTTCAGCCTTCAAACTCCAATTTACTGTGGGACCCGGAGTTCATGCTAGATTTCATCGAGAACCCTTCTGCTCACAGCATTAACTACTCAATGCTGGGCAAGATTCTGAGCGATAACGCAGCCAACCGCTACAGCTTTGTCTGCAACGCCCTAATGAATGTGTGCATGGGGCACCAAGATGCAGGAAGGTAAGGCAGAGTGTGCAGGAATCATAAATGGATGGGGTTTCGCATGGTATATACGAGGTTTCCTTTCATCTTTTTGTTTTGTGCCTTTTTTGCGATGGGTTTCATGCGTTACTCTTTCAGGTTGCTGAAAGTTTATTGAGTAAGTTTCCTCTGAGTTACTTCATTAAATCAATCCGCATCATTTAACAGAAGGGAGTGACAAGTGTAAAGTGCTCACTGTAAGAGAGTCAGTAAGCTCTTTTGTATCAGCAGTTGTGTCGCTTCAGACAGAACAGCTCAGCACAATCTTTGCTCATTAGAAGACTGTAAATGAGGGAAGGTTCTGCATTAGGTCATTTCCTTCTTCTGATGTAATTAGTGTTTAATTTATTAAATGTGTAATTTATTTATTATGGATTTCATCTTAGTAGGTAATTTGCAGATTTTCCAAAAATATTTAAAACAAAAACATTAAGAGTTTTATTGGATAGAAGCTGCTAGACTTATAACAGCTGTCAGTTGTATTTTCAGAGTAGGTTGGACCTCACAGTGCGCGGTTCGAGTCGCTCTCCAATGATTAGAGTTAAGGATGGGGTCTGCACCTCAGCAGGTTGCCTGGCACTGTCTTGTTGTGGTCATGTACACATGTGGCATTGCAGCGCTGAGACTGTTCTGCCCTGGTTTTCCGTTCTGCAAAGTGTGTGATGCAAGGTGAAACGGACACCAATTTTTGGATCTAGCCTTTACTGCTGACCCTAGCACCTTTATTCCTCTTACACAATCAAAACCACCAGAACTTGGTGTTTTGTTACGATTCTATTCCCATTTTTATTAAGAAATTCTTGATAGTTGCAGCAGGTGCATGAAGGTAATAGGTGCAGCAATAGCTGACAGTCTTTTTTACGGTTGCTGACAGATCACAAAACTCAAGGAAATTTTGTATGTTTTTTTTTTCTTTTCTTTTCTAATAAACTCCTGCCCAAACTGTGTTCAGTTCTTATATCCTTCTCCCTGTCCCCAGTATGAAGCCATCTCCAAAATGTCCAGAGCAGGTCCAGAGAAGGCCACAAAGATGATCAGAGGACTGGAGCATCTCTGCTCTGGGGACAGGCTGAGATAGTTGGGGTTGTTCAGCCTGGAGAAGTCTCTGGGGAGACCTTAAAGCCCCTTCCAGTACCTAAAGGGGGTCTACAGGAGAGATGGGGAGGGACTCTTTATCAGGGAGTGTAGTGATGGGACGAGGGGTAATGGTTTTAAACTGAAAGAGGGCAGATTTAGATTAGATATTAGGAAGATATTCTTGACTGTGAGGGTGGTGAGACACTGGCCCACATTGCCCAGAGAAGTTGTGGATGCCCCGTCCCTGGAGGTGTTCAAGGCCAGGTTGGAAGGGCCTTAAAGCAACCTGGTCCAGTGGTAGGTGTCCCTGCCCATGGCAGGGAGTTTGGAAATAGATGGCCTTTAAAGATCCCTTCCAACCCAAACCATTTGATGATTCTATGAAATGTGGAGCATCCTTGGCAGAGCAGAGAAGCTGAGAGGAAGCAGTTTTGTAACAGCAATAAAGGGGAACATCTAAATGCGGTCAAACGGGTTTCACTGTGGAACAGAGAAAAAATAACTTGCACTGGGATGAGTCAGTTCTGCTTTGTTTTTTACAATATTACATAACTCTGAATCATACATTGAATTACACACTACACAGTATGCGATCTATGAAGTAAAATTCATTAATGCCAATTGATTTTGTGACTCTCCTCCCTCCTAAAGGGTTTCATGCGTTACTCTTTCAGGTTGCTGAAAGTTTATTGAGTAAGTTTCCTCTGAGTTACTTCATTAAATCAATCCGCATCATTTAACAGAAGGGAGTGACAAGTGTAAAGTGCTCACTGTAAGAGAGTCAGTAAGCTCTTTTGTATCAGCAGTTGTGTCGCTTCAGACAGAACAGCTCAGCACAATCTTTGCTCATTAGAAGACTGTAAATGAGGGAAGGTTCTGCATTAGGTCATTTCCTTCTTCTGATGTAATTAGTGTTTAATTTATTAAATGTGTAATTTATTTATTATGGATTTCATCTTAGTAGGTAATTTGCAGATTTTCCAAAAATATTTAAAACAAAAACATTAAGAGTTTTATTGGATAGAAGCTGCTAGACTTATAACAGCTGTCAGTTGTATTTTCAGAGTAGGTTGGACCTCACAGTGCGCGGTTCGAGTCGCTCTCCAATGATTAGAGTTAAGGATGGGGTCTGCACCTCAGCAGGTTGCCTGGCACTGTCTTGTTGTGGTCATGTACACATGTGGCATTGCAGCGCTGAGACTGTTCTGCCCTGGTTTTCCGTTCTGCAAAGTGTGTGATGCAAGGTGAAACGGACACCAATTTTTGGATCTAGCCTTTACTGCTGACCCTAGCACCTTTATTCCTCTTACACAATCAAAACCACCAGAACTTGGTGTTTTGTTACGATTCTATTCCCATTTTTATTAAGAAATTCTTGATAGTTGCAGCAGGTGCATGAAGGTAATAGGTGCAGCAATAGCTGACAGTCTTTTTTACGGTTGCTGACAGATCACAAAACTCAAGGAAATTTTGTATGTTTTTTTTTTCTTTTCTTTTCTAATAAACTCCTGCCCAAACTGTGTTCAGTTCTTATATCCTTCTCCCTGTCCCCAGTATGAAGCCATCTCCAAAATGTCCAGAGCAGGTCCAGAGAAGGCCACAAAGATGATCAGAGGACTGGAGCATCTCTGCTCTGGGGACAGGCTGAGATAGTTGGGGTTGTTCAGCCTGGAGAAGTCTCTGGGGAGACCTTAAAGCCCCTTCCAGTACCTAAAGGGGGTCTACAGGAGAGATGGGGAGGGACTCTTTATCAGGGAGTGTAGTGATGGGACGAGGGGTAATGGTTTTAAACTGAAAGAGGGCAGATTTAGATTAGATATTAGGAAGATATTCTTGACTGTGAGGGTGGTGAGACACTGGCCCACATTGCCCAGAGAAGTTGTGGATGCCCCGTCCCTGGAGGTGTTCAAGGCCAGGTTGGAAGGGCCTTAAAGCAACCTGGTCCAGTGGTAGGTGTCCCTGCCCATGGCAGGGAGTTTGGAAATAGATGGCCTTTAAAGATCCCTTCCAACCCAAACCATTTGATGATTCTATGAAATGTGGAGCATCCTTGGCAGAGCAGAGAAGCTGAGAGGAAGCAGTTTTGTAACAGCAATAAAGGGGAACATCTAAATGCGGTCAAACGGGTTTCACTGTGGAACAGAGAAAAAATAACTTGCACTGGGATGAGTCAGTTCTGCTTTGTTTTTTACAATATTACATAACTCTGAATCATACATTGAATTACACACTACACAGTATGCGATCTATGAAGTAAAATTCATTAATGCCAATTGATTTTGTGACTCTCCTCCCTCCTAAACAGTAGTGCTGTCCTGGCACAGGGAGGGAGGGCTCCTGCGGTGAGATGTCACCGGTGACCTGGGGGCTGGGAGACGTGCACCACACACACACCACATCCCTGGGGCATATTTGCATGAGAGAGGATGGAGCTGCTGCTGGTGTGGCAGCACTGAAGGAAGGGCAGAGCGGGGCACCTGTAGAGAGAGGCAGGTCATCTGTTGTGGTGGGCTACAGGCTCCATCCTTCTTCCTGGGCAACTCAAGCACAGGCAGGAAAGCTGGTAGGTGTACATGTAGGGTTTACACAAAATAAAGGCCCTATACTACTGTAGGTTGGATGGGTACAAGCCACATACTGTCTTTTTTTCCCAGATACTCCATTTGTCCAGGTGTGAATAACACTAGGTTATATGTACAGTAGCAAAATCACATTTGGACATAAACCCCCACCTTAAGTAAGGGAACACCAGTTCCACTGCCAGGCACTAATCTGGTTTCACCTAAATATTGTTTACAAAATACCTTGTTTCTGTATTAGTTTTTTCTCTTCTTTTCTAGGATTAATGACATAGCCAACCTTTGCTCAGAGCTGACGGCGTGCTGCACGGTGCTTAGCTCAGAGTGGTTGGGGGTCGTAAAAGCTCTTTGCTGCTCTTCAAATCATGTCTGGGGTTTCAATGATCTGCTCTGCAGTGTGGATGTAAGTTCAATATCTTCTGAAGTACCTGTTAATCCTATTTACCTAGGGTGCACTTAGACTTACAGTAAGGTTTCCATTCAATACAAAAAGCTGAGTGCAAATTTAGGTCTGTACCCATTTGAGTTTTCGAGGCTTTTAATGAGATTCGTGATTGATTTTTATTCTTTCCTACATCTTCAGAGTTAATTTAGAATTTGGGCAGTGCTTAGAGTTTTTGTAGATTTTTTTTTTTTCTTTATTATGGAATTATATGGAATATTAGAGGTACTCTTTGGAAGGAGCAGCCATGTCCATATACTTTTTCTAAAATGTTAATGGATGTGCAAATAACTATCTCTATTTTAAAGCCCTTGTTTTCGTGTTGGCTCTTGGACTGTAGAAGAGGTGGTACGCTTTGCTGTTCCTTACTCACTTGGTGTAAGTCACCATAGTGCTGTTAAATCAGCAGGACTATGGTGACTCATGTTATTCAATATCTGATTCAATATATTTGTCTATCTTTTGATTTGTGGTATTTTAAATAGTTGTTTTTTAAAATGAAGTTAAGAGCTATCAGTATTTGCCATAAAATATTTGGGAAATGCATTAAAATATAGTGACAAATGCTTATGTGTAAACATTTTACTGTTTATTCTTGTAGTTCATTCCTTAATAATCATGGCAGTGGTGTGTGCACTGTTATGTGAAGTCTTGCAATGCTTTTCCTTCAAGGTGAGTGACCTGTCGTTCCACGATTCCCTGGCCACTTTCATTGCTATATTGATCGCCCGGCAGTGCTTTTCTCTGGAAGATGTAGTTCAGCACGTTGCACTGCCTTCTCTTCTTGCAGCTGGTAAGAAAATGCCCAGAGGAAAACTTAAAATGAAAAACTTAAGACTTCTTAAGAAGTCTTCGTTGAATGATTCAGTGATGTATACTGAACTAAGTTCTTGTATGGAATGCCACCTATTGTGCATTGCAGCACGTGTGCCCCTGCATGTTGCCCCAGCGATGCCAAGTTAGATCAGAGAACCCACGCTTGACAAGTAGTATTAGAGTTGCTGAGAGTGCACTGTCCCCTTATCTTATGTAGCCTCACCTGCTGCTCACGACTCTCTTCTGCTCTATGCTATATGCTCAAAGGTCTGCCAGATCTACTCAGGGTATGCATTTCCTTCTAGCATCGGTCAGTCTGATGTTGGCGTTTTCTCTCTGACCTCATCATCTTCACCTCCCTGGAGTACTGTAGCTGTGGTCATCTTTGTTGGCCACTTCACACGTTTCTTTTCACTTTCTTCTTGGATTTGTATTTCTTATTTCTGCTTTGACTGTCAAAAGCCATTTTAACCATGTATTCTTTTCTGGCATTAACTAGGTCTCTTGCTTACCAAAAATCATAGTATTCTTTCCTGTTCTTTAATGACTCAAGGCCATAAAGGCTGATTCCTGTTGACGAAATTATTGTATTCCCATTTAAAATGGAGCTGTGAGGTAGAACATTTCCAGGCCTGCCACTGTGAGTAGTGAGGTCCTGGGCAGATGCCTTATCTCCATGTCCCATCTTCCATAGCCTGTGGAGATCCAGATGCTGAGCCTGGGGCGAGGATGACCTGTCGTCTACTCCTGCACCTCTTTAGGACACCCCAGGTCTGCCTGTTTCCCCAGGGAACAGGTAAGTCACCTGCTAGGTGGTCCCTTCATTTCAGAAAGTGAACCTAGAATGTTTTTATTGGCTTCAGATTTCATATGTAAAAATATCCATAGTGCAAGTAGAAATGATAGCCTGTTTAAAATTCCAGATGTTTCACTAGTGAAAAGTTGATACGTACTATACTTACTTGTTTGGGAAATGTTTTTTATGCATGTAAAACCATAGAAGTTTGCTGAAACTTATTCGTTATCAACACCCAACCACCGGCGTGTGGCGTAACGTTGACCTAAAACTCAACCATATTAATATTCCAACTTCTAACACAAAGTTAAGTTTTAACACAACATCTGCAAACACTTCAGTAAAGAGGAATACGTTTAGAAAAACTGTTCTGACCTGATAGTTCTCATTTTGTTTTGGAACTTCCTTGAAAAAACGATCTGTGCCTGGGACCTATCAATACTGGTTTTGTGCCAGTGCTGCTCTTGGCACTGGCAGTATTTATCACAGTCCCAACCTTCCTTCCTACTGAGTTCTGTGGGGCAGTGACAGCTCCTGAAGTGGTTCATACAGAAGCTAATAGGGATACATATCATGCAGTTTGGTAGCCTTGCATGTAAATTGAAATTAAATGTGATTTAAAATAGGGTATAATAAAGCATCTAGTCCAACAGAAGAAACATGAGGATATTAGTTCTCAGAATACATTAATGTAGTTCTCTTTCCTTTTAATTTGAATAATCTGTGGTCTGACCTGTGTGTGTTTGCCACAGACCAAAAGAGGAAGGAAAAGGACAGGGAACAAGCACCTAACAATTTAAAGGAAACAAGCCTGGAAATGACCTGTGTTTTGACTTATAAGTATTTCAGCAAATTTGATGACAAGGCTATTTCTATGGGAAAATGAAATTGAAAGAAAAAAAATTTCAGCTCCTAAGTGGTGTCAAATTCTTCCATCTAAAAGTAATATTAATTTCTTTTTTGACCAGAAATGGATGAGCTTTTGTTGCATATTTAAGCAAAACAAATAAGAGCCTTGTAAGATACCATCTGAGTAACAGAAATGTGTTACGTGATCCCAGGCTTCCCTAGAAATAAAAGCGGATTTGAATGGATAGGAAAAATCATGTCTGAAATCTAGGAAGTAGTACAAATCAAATCAAATGTGACCATGTTGCTGTCTTTTCTTACATACGGCTCAGTTAACCACCTCAGAAAGGAGGTGGATTCATCCTTCCTTTCTCCCTCCCTCTCTGTCTTTCAGTCTGTTTACCTTCTTCAGGTTAGAAGGAGCACTCACTGTCTCCTTTTGCAGTCTGCTTCTGAGCTGCGGAATTAGGCTTAACTGTGCAACAGGCATTTGTATTAATTAGTTTTGCCTCATTTGTTAGGAAGACTAGGTGAGGGAAGTAATTTACTAAATCTGTGAGGTCAAAACCAAAATACACTTCATTGTCTCATTGTGGTTAATTTCGCTGTTTACACAGTGAAATGACAGGCTCCTTTTTCTATTAAAATGATCACAGCTTATTTTGATATTAATACATCGTAACCGTTTATCCCAGTTGGTTATAGTGACTTACCTGTATGTCTTCAGTTTCAATTTCAGAAAATTCAGTTCTTCATTCAGTTGTTGTACTTCTGTACTTTTGATATTAATACATCGTAACCGTTTATCCCAGTTGGTTATAGTGACTTACCTGTATGTCTTCAGTTTCAATTTCAGAAAATTCAGTTGTTGTACTTCTGTAGCTATTCTAGACGAAAAGGATGTTGTACAAAGGAAATTTGAGTTGGTAAATAATAACTGTTTCCTACAAGATTTACTCTTCTTTCCATAGGGAAACTATTTCCTGGAATTCGTTCTTCTTGTGATCGTCACCTCTTGGCTGCTGCTCACAACAGTATAGAAGTGGGAGCTGTGTTCGCAGTCTTAAAAGCAATTTTGATGCTTGGTAAGATTATGCAGAGTCATGTGTAATGTTTTTGTTCCAGTGTTCGGGTAAAAAAACAGATTGTGCTAGTTCACTTCCCTGGGAATGCTCCTTGGAAAGGAAAACCCTGATGACAGGAGAAAAATGTGGATGCTGTCTGTGCTTCTGTAGCATGTGAATAGCGTTTTCCCCACAGGTCAAGAGACAGAGTTTTTCTCTGGTGAGTCAACCCCAGCTGATAAGGCTTTGAGCAGATGTGACTTTTTCATGTTTTGACCCTCACCCCACCACTAAGTCCCAGTACATTTCAAACTCAGGCGAGTCCCTCTCAAATATGGAGAAGAAATATGGTCTCAAATAATTTTTCCCACCTTTTTTCTGTGTTTTACCACAAATCATGTGTGCCTGTCATTGTGGAAGTTGTGAAAGAATCACTGCTTAGCAACTGTCCATGAACAAGTGTGCTATTTTTCCAAACAAATAAGTGCCTGAAAGCTTTGGTTTGGCTTAATTTCAGTTAAAGCTCTTGTGACCTATGGTGAAGTGTATTTTTGGAGCTAAGTAAACATCCAGCTAAACAAGCAAGATCTTCCAGATGTGGACATACCCACAGAGGTGTACCTCCAGTTAGAGTGCTGTTACGATATTCCCTGTTGACCAGTGTCTCAGAACTGTCGCAAAACCCCCATGATCCTTAATGATGTGACTATATTGGGAAAGATTTTAATGGCATAGCTATCTGGGATAGACAGATGGATTTGAGAGTGAGTTTGAGATCTATTTATGGGCATTATTCAGTGGTGCCCAGGGATAGGACAAGAGGAAATGGGCACAAACTTGAATATAAGAAGTTCCACCTAAACATGAGGAGGAACTTCTTTACTTTGAGGGTGGAATAGGCTGCCTGGGGAGGTGGTGGAGTCTCTGTCTCTGGAGACATTCAAAACTCACCTGGACAAGTGCCTGTGCAACCTGCTCTGGGTGGACCTGCTTTGGCGAGGGGGTTGAACTAGATGATCTCCAGAGGTCTCTTCCAACCCCGTATCATTCTGTGATTCTGTGATTATCTGTGTTTTCTTGCTATACAGAGTGCTGAGATTTGCTGTTTTTCTTCATTAATGGTGTGTAGTGTGAACACTTGTTGTTTTGCCTCTATGCAGGGACGTGGTTTGGATAGGGTCTGGTGCAGGCTGGTAGGAAGAAAGATTTAGGCAGACAGCTTATTTGTTCCTTCACTGCAGCACATCTCCTCCTCTACCCAAAATGTTATATTTGGAGATGTCTTCTGTCGTCACGCTGCATTAGTTATTTAAAAAATCTACTTGATTTTCTGAGGAAAAGCATTAGATAAATGATAGCTGTTGCAGTTCTATGCTGAGGAAGCTTTGTGAGTTGAAATCTACGTTAGAAAGAATAATCCCTACTCACAATGAAAGACGGTGCTGCAGTCGATTGCTCTAGGGTATGTTAAATATCTTAACAAGTTTTATCAAAGTGTTCTGGAGTGGCTTTAGCTTCACATGTGGCTTGGTATCAGTCTCTTCATCATATTATTTGCCTGCCAGGTTCTTCCCTCTTGTCCTTCACAGGTACAGATTTGGGCCTGGTGTAGTTGTGCCCACAATCTTGTAAGACGGTAGAGTGCAGGGAGGGTGTGGATGGGCTGTTTGCTGCTGGCTTTTCATGTGTGTTGTGGACAGATGTCCATTGGCTTATTTCCCACACTCTTTGCAATGAGCTTGTCCTGGGCTTTGGGTTCTGCAGGGCTTGATGTGTCTGCTCTATCAGCCATTGGGTCAGCAGTACAGGGGGTTTGGGATTTGCCTGGATTTGGGGGAATAGAGGGCTTATAATTGCTTTCATTTCTCAGGGTATGTTTTACTGTTTTGCTGTTGGCCTACTTAAAAATAATTTCTGTTCTGTCTCGAGTGACAATGCTGTTCATTCAGTGTCTCTCCTCTCTGGAAGGAGTTGATTCCTCGTGCTGCAGTGGGCCGTGCAGAGGAGGCCACCCACCAGGAGGTACCGTCTGGGTACAGGCTGGTCTGTCACAGCCAGTCAGGGCTCTGGTTTTGATAAGCTGTTAAAAACAAGTCCAGCCTTGCTAAAAAAAGGGTTGTATGCTGTTTGTTTAGCAGTAACTCTAAAGCAGCACAAGCCAGGGTGGGGGCACAGGCGTTGGCTGTTTTTCTTAGCAGTAGCTCTACTCAACCCTCATTTTTTTTCCATTCAGGGTAATGCAGTACCAGGGAACACAGAAACAGTGACGAGAGAACTGAGTGTGCAGGAGGACCCAGAGCACCATCATGTTTGGAGCACTCTGTGTAAATGTGTAGTAGTCTGGGGATGTGGCCGCAGCTGCTGAAGGGCTGTCAGTCTCCTTGGTGCAGTAGTATGAAATATTTTGCTGGTACTGGTGGTAGACTTCCAAAACCCTCTAGCATATTGTAACCAGAAGCCATGGTGTGAATGTGTGTGTGTCTGAATGAGTAGATACTCCATGTGGCTGAAACAAGCCATTTAGCCTTGTCATGTTGTGGTAGTTGTTGATCCTGATAGTAAACTGGGTTTTTTTCTAAGGGATGACTCTTGCATGTGGTGCATCAGTTAAGATCCACAGGAGTTTCTGCTGAATCAAAACATTAAAGCTAAGTTAGCCTGCTTCTCATGCAGCATGTCATCGTGCACTCTCCTGGCTGGCCTCGCAGGTCTAAGGTATTATTATGTGCAACAGTTTGGGCTTTTTCCCCCGCTACTACATGCAGCAGTTGCATCTCCTTCCTTGTCCAAGGAGTTCTTCGTGTCAAGAAGTTCAGAGTAAGGTGGGCTAAGGGGCCACTGTTCAAAACTTGTCTCTTGATCTGTGGACTGTTAATAAATCAAAGTAAGAGAGAAGACTTGGAAAAGGGACATCTGAGAAGAGTGAGTAACCCAACTCTTCCTTATCTGCCAAAGCAATTCCATACACTCACAGACCTTTTGCTGCCAAGCACATAGTGGCTTTATTTGTGTTTAATTTGTATAAACCTTTTCCTGTGCCTGAAATATCTGTTCAAAATATTCTATGCAAAACAAAGCAAGTGGACAGTACTTTGAAGATGGTGATTTCAGAGTCAGTTAGTGCTGCCCTTTTTGAATGCAACTGCCTCACTCCTGCTTTACTTCTCAGCTGGCCTCTGCCTCCAAAGGTGTCCCCCAGCGGGTAAGGGTTCTGGGGACACAGGGACTTAGGTAAAAGTTCACCCCATGCTTCTGTGCTTCTGCTGTACAGGTGACGCCGAAATCGGCAGCAACAATGTCGACTCCTTGAAGAGCGAAGATCTCCATGTGAGAGGCTTATTAGATGAACTCAATGAGGATGAAATCTGGGGTTCCTCTCACACTTTGAAGTCATGCGGAAAAGCTGTTTCCATAGAAACTGCTAGTTTAAGCGAGTATGCTAGATATGTGCTAAGAACAATTTGCCAGCAGGTAATCTGTAAAACTACTCTTCTGTCTTCATTTGGAGAAGGAATATTATTTTATTTGAAAAGTGTAACGTATATTTTGGCGTGGAATGGAAGTTGAAGTCTTTCAGTATTTGAATTCTCTTTGGGTTTCCTGATTTGGACAATTTATACATGGAGTAGTATGTTATTAGGGGAGGGAAAATGGCATTTTATCAGAATCGATGTGGTTTTCCTACTTGAATATCAAGCACTTTAAGAAGACAATAGGAACACTCCATCAGCTGTCTGCACAAAGTGCTTTTGCAGTAGCATTTGTTTTGTTGCAAAGTCGTTTTCAAAGTATTAGGAAAAATGAATTTTGGAAAACACATTGACAGTCTTATACTTTCAGGTGATAATGACAGAAGACATTTCTAATCTCACATGTTGCATGAACCATAGTTCACTTCAAGTTTTGCGTATGGAAAAAATAACTTTTCTGTTTAGCTTACCCAAAGTTAATATTGCCTCCAGGCTATCTTGTGAATCTGTTATCTTATTACTTACAGGAATGGGTTGGAGAACACTGTTTAAAAGAACCTGAGAGGCTGTGCACAGACAAAGATCTTATTTTGGATCCTGTTCTTTCAAACAAACAAGCACAGAAACTCCTTCAACTTATCTGTTATCCTCATGGTATTAAAGAATGCACCGAGGGTGACAACCCTCAGAGGCAGCACATCAAACGCATACTTCAGGTAATGCAGTGGGGAAAAGGTGCAAAAAATACCTGTGATGCACTGAGTCTTAACCTGTCATTCGGCAGCACCACCAGCTGACATTGATTTGTAGTTCCTGGTGCAATCAGGCATTAGATTCTTCTTTAAAGATTGTATGTGCTCAGCATCCCGGGTCTCTGTGGTGAATGTTTCACAGTGAGATTTCTGGTGTCTCGTTACTTCTGATTCCACAGTTATGGAGGAATTAAGTGTGCAGCACGTTCCCCATTGCTGTTCGTCATTGTCAGTCATTAGAAAGCCACTGAAAAGGTTGCTGCTTAGGTGGAGGCTCCTGCTGTCTGTGACAGTCCTGTGGTGAAAGGCACTCCACGGAAAAGGCTCAAACACCTTCACGGACAGTCCCAAACTGACCATTTCTTCAAATTCAGCTGCATTAGGGACGCTTCAGTTCTTAAACTACAAAATGGATTTTCTTTGAATAGAATTGTGAAGAATCAAATCAGGACAGGACCTGGACCTGGACCAGGACAAATAGTGATCTGTGTCCTGCAAAATAATCAGCTGCTGTGCTTACTTTAATTGTGTCTAGATGGCCTTGTGCTAACTATAAACATGTCTACTTGGATGGCAATGCCATGGGTTAATGTAATTGCTAATGAAAGAACAACTCATGTTTTCTGTATTCATATTTAACTAAACTCAGATTTTTCAGAGAGCAAGATTCTTATTCAGAAAAGTTGCATGGTTAAAAGTATTGAGTAACAATATTGGCTGCAAAGATGTGCAAGTTAACATACATTCTTTAATAGGCCTAATATTTAGGATATCATTAGGCTGTTAAAAATAGTCATCATAAAAATGATCTGCTTATAAGATGAGGCTTTTGCATGTAATGTATTCAATTATGAGGCTTTTTTTTCTTCATACCTGTAAAGCATTGACATTTGTATTTGTAATGTTAATTCTTACCTAGAACTTAGATCAGTGGACTCTCCGGCAGTCTTGGTTGGAGCTGCAACTAATGATCAAACAGTGCATGAAGGAGCCTGTGAGTATTTGTTTTCAAACTTTCTTATCTAAATATTTAATGCAATAAAGTATGTTTAATTTTAACGTAGTCCATGAGCAAACATACCATGAATGTGCTAGTTTACTTATGTTTTACTGTAGGGTTCTGGGTCTGTGGCTGAAATGAACAGCTTGTTGGATAATATTGCAAAGGCGACAATAGAGGTGTTTCAGCAATCCGCTGATCTAAACAATAACTCTTCTAACTCTGGTATAGGCCTCTTCAATCCAAACTCTGTTGGAAATGCTGACACAAGTAATACAAGACAGAATGGTAAAAAGACATTCCTAAGGTATTTTTTGTAGCACCTTTTTAATTATTTTAGCCAACATGATGCTTAATTATGTGTAGATTGCCTAGACTTTCTTGCACTTGAAACAGGAATGTACAGAAATGAGTTACCTGAAGGTTACTTCTATTTACTTTTGTTAAACAATAAATATAGTTGCTGTTCTTGAATTTTCTGAAAACCAGAAATTGTGACTGCTCAGTCCACAGTAGTTACTCGAGATGCATTGTGTCAACTGCTTTATTAAAGCAGTTGAGTCTTGTAACAGCTAATACTGGTTGCCAAACTACACGGATGTTTTGGCTGAAATAAGTTTGTTCTACTTCTAGTTCCTCTGAGCGGCGAGGAGTGTGGCTGGTGGCTCCCTTGATTGCAAAACTGCCTACCTCAGTTCAAGGTAGGGTCTTGAAAGCTGCGGGAGAGGAGCTGGAGAAAGGTCAACATTTGGGGTCCTCTTCTAAGAAGGAAAGAGATAGACAGAAGCAAAAAAGGTATGACCTTGGGGATCCCTGTACAGAGACCTGAGAGGTATTTTGAAAGAGGAGTGTACTGAGGACTGGACTTTGGCTTCACAAAACCCCATTGGTTTACTTTTGTGGAGCAAAAGTTTATCAGTACCAAACAGGGTTCAGGTTTCATTTAGTTTGAAGAAATATCATTGGTTTCAGAGGAAGAGATGTGAAAGCTTTGTACCACGTCTTCCAGTGGCTGTTCTGCAGCCTGGTGTTGGGAAATGTTATAGATTTCAAAGAATAGTCAGCAGCCTTGTTGTCTCTTCCTTTTTATGGCAGTAGGCCACTTTTCTTGCCATTAAGATTCCATAATTGTCATAAGATGTCACTTAATTCCTGTTGGGAATTAAGCTTAAGCTCATCTCTAACTTTACAAGTGCATGAGAATTTTAATGACTTAGTGGTTATTAATTTTCCTTTAGTAAAATACTCTTCCACAGTGCCTATACTTTCTTTGTCCTTTCTTAGAGTTATGATGGAAATTACATTGAATACTATACACAAAGTCTTTTAGCTTCAAATATCAACCATCTTTCCTTTTTTGTGAAGCTTTTCCAAAGTACAGTTGTCCAAATGAACAAATAACTTAAAATCACTTATATACTTAAGAGCTTGTGGTATTTGGTTGTTGGTCACCTGCAATGTATACAGTCCCTGAGCGTGGGGCCAATAATTGGGCTTCGCCACTCTGTAGTACTCTTGTAAACCTGTGTTGTATGTATTGATTTTGACTCATGGTTGTCATAAGACGCATTTTAAATCTACTGCCATTTTCCTACCACTTCCACCTAGTTTATTTTCCCTTTAAAGTTAGAAGATTTTTATATTTTTTTCCTTTCCATCATAATTGCAGTATGCTCATTACTCTCTGATGTGCTGGACCCTCCTAGTTCATCTGGGCTGTTTCTTTAATAAACTGCTTATCTGATGTTATCAACCTATACAAGTTCTGTTTGCCATGTTCAGTTTTTCAGTTAAGTACGTTTTGTATTAGCTTTATGAATCCATCCCCTCCTTGTCCTTCTAATTCATTTGTAATACCTGCTTGATCTGTTAGATAAAAAAAGACATCTTGCTTTCAGGATCTCTTTTTCTGGTATTTCTGAGCATTTCAGCACTGTTCCATTATTCACTGGTGCTCTTGCTACTTGCATCAGTAGGGTATGGAACCTTCCTCTGTCTTCCCTTTCTTTTCCTACAGGAGAGCCCTAGTGTGGGAAATCTAAACCAAGCCTCTTTCAAAGCCTAAATATAGAAACTGTCAAGCCCTTCCTCCACGGTGTTTTCTATGCACAGAAGTAAAAGCATTTACAAAGTTGTTCTAGTTGTAGCAATAACTTACTTCCTTGTGTGCCTTTTGAAACTTTTCAGCCTCCTCTTGATTGAAAACAAACTTTACTGCTCTGTGATTGACAAAACCAATGATACTATGGGAAAGTATAAAGTCTTACATAACATATATAATTTCTCTCATTCTTTTTTCAAACTCTGATTTCTGTAACAGGGATAGCAATTCCAATAATACTTGCAAACAGTAAATTTTTCTTATGGAAATTAGTGAGAAAATGAAGATGTGTTCCTACCATGTTGTTCCTAAAATCAGAAAAATCACTGTTTAACATGGCTTTTGGAAATGCAGACTTTCTATTTTGCTTCTTTTATGACAACTTGGGATTTTGTCATTCCTTTACACTAATTGTCACCTAAATCGTTGAAGTCAAATTAAATGCCCAATGAAAATAGCTGTTGAAATGAATACTTATAATAAATACTATATTGTGTTTATGGATGCATCTAATTTTCAAGGAGCTTATATACCTAAAACTGCAAAAATCGTTGCATGAGCTGTTACTCAAATCCCTTTGCTGACATTTTTAACTTCTCCTCTTCTACTTCACGCGTGTGCTTCCAAATTCACCTTCCTGTATTTCTTTCAGTTTGTTAGTATTATGACTATATTGGATCCATATTAATCTTTAAAAAAAAGAAAAAAAGCCCTTGCATTGGTACAGCATATCCTACAGCCAGCTACAGCTGCAACTCAGTTTACTTCCACTAAGCCCATGTTAGAATTTTAGTGGAATTTAGGCAGCTGTCATTCTAATCAGTGCGTGTCGGGGAAATTTCCTTGGGATTCATTTCAGACAATTAACGTGGATTAGAAAGTTTAGGCGCCTAATCTCTGCAAAAATTACATGGCTGGTTAATCAGAGTGGCCTTAAAATAATATGTTCTGTTTCTGAGTCAGGCCTTCAAGTGTCCGTGCAATTCTTGGTCATTCAATGCCCTGAGCTAGGTGGGTTCTCAGTGATGACATGCATGATACGTGCATTTGTACTGGCTGCTGCTCTGCCTTCTTATGTGCATGATCTTTGATTCGCCTGGCAAGGCTCTAATTTACTAAACCAGAAACAGACATAGATGCAGGCAATGCCACTTCCAGGAAAAAAAAAAGTAGGCAAAACAAGGAAGGGAGTGAGGATGGGAAGCATCAAAATAACTTTACTAATTGACTTATGTGTTTGCCTCTCTTAAAGCATGTCTCTCTTGAGTCAGCAACCTTTCCTTTCATTGGTACTTACTTGCCTTAAGGGACAGGATGAGCAACGGGAAGGGCTTCTAACATCACTGCAGAATCAAGTTAATCAGGTAAAACAAGCACATAACCATGAGCACCCTTCGTTAGATGTTTTATGTGTCATGAGTTCTATGTGTATATGATGGTATAAAACCAGGAAAATTACAGTGCAATGGGATGCCAAAAGGAACAGTCCAAGGAAGGAAGAATGGGGGGGGTGTTTGTTCTTTTTTGAGAGTGAATACATCTTTTTTTTAAAGTGGTTACAGAGACGTAGAATGCACTTGAGTCTGATTTCAGTTTTTTCCAGGAAAAATAATAAAAGAGAGGACAATTGTCTGAGAGGAAAAGTCTTCTCAGTCTCTAGCTTGATCATAAAAAGTTTTTATAAGTCTGAAACTTTCCTTCTTTAGGAAAACGCTTAATCTTTCCCAGCTGGTACAGATTAAGGATTTTTCATATGTTAAAAAACATAATTGCTCGTCCCAAACTGGGCCATTGCCTACAGCTCTTCCTTTGGATCACTTGTGCTTGCTCACAACCTCTGCTGATTCTGCTCTAGCCTTCCTGCTCCCATCTGAGTCATGCTCTAGCCTACAGTAGCTCCTTAAGACTGTCTTTAAAATGAATATATACAGTGCCCGGTGTGGTGGGTATGTGTTTCCCTTTTTTCTGACTTTAGTTTCTATGAATTACAGTGACAATGAAAATTGATAACTGTAGGGTTGTTATTTTCTTATATTGCCTCTCAGCTCAGGTCCAGACTATGATGTAGGTCCACATCCTAATTAAAATCATTCCTTTGATGCGTTTTCCCCTGATGTTATTGACACGTGGGCTTTCCTTTTGCTCTATCGGTTCTCCTGAAATGCAGGTGGTCCAGGTTCCCTAAGGTTCTGGTCATTTCTTATCCAGAGACCCCACCAGATCCTGTTGGGAAGCTGCATCCAGTGTGAGAGATCTATTTACTTACCTGTGGTGAGCAGTTAAATAGAGTGCTTGAAACAGTACTTTTAATAAATGCATAACAAAGCTGCTTATTTTCTTTTTGCTACAGCAGGAAGATCTAGTCACACAATTGATAGCAGAGTATTATCTCTTTACAAATTAATTCTTTCCACTGCTAGTTTGCTTAATCTGCTCTAAACCTTAAAGGCATGAGGATAAAAAGGTTAATAATCCTTTGTGATTCTATATAGATAATGGTCACAAATACTTAAACTTCAAAGGGAGAACATTCCTTTATGGGCAGAAAACAACCTTAATCAAATGCTTTTTCTTAGATCCTTAGTAACTGGAGGGAAGAGCGGTACCAGGACGATGTTAAAGCTAGGCAAATGATGCATGAAGCCCTACAACTTCGTCTTAACTTGGTAAGAAAAACTGATATGGTTATCCTGATGTTATAAAAGTGTGTAGCAGCTACTCTGGAGTAGGTGGTAAGGAATAAGAAGCGCTGTGTCAGGGCACCGCAGGGACCGGGGCTCCCTGAGAGCTGGCAGCCCCCAGCCCCGGGCATCAGGCACCTCCACTGGGATGGGGACAAGCTGAGGCTATGCCAGGATGTCACCCCATGGCAGGTGGCTCAGGATCAGGCCCATCGAGGGGGACGAGGGTCAGACACAGCCCTGGCATGGCCAAGCAGGGCATGGGGACAGGCTGAGGCTCCTGGGCCCAGGGCAAGGGGCCTCAGGTTGGGCTGGCCAGGGACAGCAAAGGCTGTTAGTGTCCCTTCTACTCTGACACAAGGGGGTCTCTGCTCCACTGGTGTTAGTCTCCGATCTTCCTATCTCTCATTTCAGCTGATGCCTCCTGGCCATAATGTTTGACATAAAATGAATAGGAAGGACAGCCTATACCTTAGTCATGCCTTATTTTTGTGCTTTCTTCCTTTCAATGTCTCTGGAACTTCAGAAACGTATCATCTCTTTGTGGATATGCAAAGATGTTGTCCACTGATGGTTTATCCCCATGTAACAAGTGAGGATTTTATGGAATTAGGTAGTCAATATGGTTGAGACTTACAGAGCTCTTGGGGAGTGTAACATTTGGCCATTTAACTTACATGTGCAATTTCAGTTGCTGCTCCTTGGATACATGAATTAATCAAGTATGTGTTTCTACTGTACATGTAGTAATTAAGTTTCCATCAAGTTCTCCAATGTCCCACATCTCTTGAAACCTCTGTTCCAGACATCAGGACCACTGCAGCTTGTTTAGCACAGTGCACAGATGTGTGGAGACTACATGTGAGGCCAAATGAGGGAGGACTAAGGCAGGAGGAACACTGCTTCCCATTTTTTTGGAATCTGCTTAGATGCAGTTGTGCAACTAGAGGGGTAACCACAGCCTTACGCTGCTACTGGTTCAGGCCAAGGGACCTTGAGCCAGCTGTGCTTTCGTTAGCTAGAATTGTTATACCTTTGAAATTTGGGATTTGGATTCTAGTCTGACCATTTGGTAAACAGGCTTGCTAACCTGAGCAGGTATCTTGTGTTATTGCAGTTTGGTCCTTTGGAGGATGAATTTTGGTAAACTGGCTCCTTCTGAAAGCCAAAGCATATTTTACAGTATCATACTATACTGGTAGAAATAATGAAAAGTTGTTCATAGGGTAAAATATATCATTTAGCAGTTTTCATTTTCAGTCAAAGCTACATTTTTCTTCAGATTTTTTCTCTTTGCACTGGACATTATTGTCTGATTTTTGGGTGTGGAAGGAAGGTGACTACTATAAAGTTTTAATTCAACACCTTTTCACTCCTGAAATTTTTTTTCACCAACTTCAGTTTGTTGCATCAAACAAGAAAGTGAAGATATGAAACTGAAGGAGCAGTGTAAAAATATTTTGCTTTTCTATAGTTCCTTCTTAGGAGGAGTTTTTTCCTGGGAGCATGGAGTGGGGAGGAGAAGTTATTTAAAGTCAGCACTTCACGGTGGCATTCAGCACACGAGAATTTGCAGGACTGGATAGCAGTTTTATTTATAAGTAATCCATATGACAGGGGAAGTGTGCCTCTATAAGATACATGTATCTGCTGTATTATTTTGCAGGTTGGTGGCATGTTTGATACTGTGCAGAGGAGTACCCAGTGGACCACAGACTGGGCGCTTCTGCTCCTGCAGATAATCACTTCAGGAACTGTTGATATGCAGACCAACAAGTACGTCCGCGCTATTTAAACAAGCTAATTCATGTCATAGAATCATATGGGGTTGGAAGGGACCTCTGGAGATCATCTAGTCCAACCCCTCCGCCAATGTTTCTAAAGAAGGAGACTCTACCACCTCTCTGGGCAGCTTGTTCCAGTACCACTCTCACAGTAAAGAAGTTTGTGACCAAAAGGTCTTGTCCTGTCACTGGGCACCACTGAAAAAAGACCAGCCCCATTCTCCTGGCACCCTCCCTTTAAGTATTTGTAAGCATTGATTAGATCCTCCCTAAGTCTTCTCTTCTCAAGACTAAAAAGACCCAAGTCCCTCAGACTCTCCTCGTAGGAGAGGTGCTCCAGGCCCTTAATCATCTCTGTGGCCTTTTTCCGTACCCTCTCCAGCAGTTCCCTGTCCTTCTTGAACTGGGGGGCCCAGAACTGGACACAGTACTTCAGATGGGGTCTCACTAGGGCAGAGTAGAGGGGCAGGATGACCTCCCTCATCCTGCTGGCCACGCTCTTCTTGATGCATCTCAGGATGCCATTTGCCTTCTTGGCCACAAGGACACATTGCTGGCTCATGGTCATCCTGTTGTCCACCAGGACTCCCAGGTCTTTCTCCTCAGAGCTGCTTTCCAGCAGGTCAGACCCCAACCTGTACTAGTGCTTGGGGTTATTTCTCCCTGGATGCAGCACCCTACACTTGCCCTTGTTAAATTTCATTAGCTTTCTCTCTGTCCATAGTGCTTTTAAGTTTAGACTGCATGTATGTTATTGTTATATTTTTTTTACTATTATCCTGTTACTGTTTGAGTGCAACTTACATGCTCAATGGTGGTCTTGGTTGGGGAGCACCTCTGTTTTGGAAAGCACTGGAGCTGCTGTTTATCCTCTTCCAGAACAAGCATATACCTGAGCGCTTTCCTCAGTGGGAGTCTGTAATTCCTCAGGACTCTCTGTTAGCAGTTTGTGCTGTCTGTAGCTCTGAGCTGGGATTTAGAATAAGATTAGTGTGTACGTCTCAACAGACGCCCCGGATGTACACGCCGGGGCTTATGGCGCATGCGGGCTGAGACGTGTGTGTGTGCAGAGAACCCTGAAAACCCCTCTTGTCTAAAAAGCTACGTTTGTGGCCTTTGCTGTGAATATCAGTCCCTGGATCTCTTTGCAATGAGTAGTTCCTACAGGTAATACTTGTCTTTGCTCTCAGCGAATTGTTCACGACCGTGCTCGATATGCTGGGTGTCCTCATCAACGGGACGCTTGCCTCCGACTTGTCAAACGCGTCCCAAGGAGGGCCCGAGGAAAACAAAAGGGCTTACATGAATTTAGTGAAAAAATTAAAAGTAAGTGTTACGTCTTGTCGTTTTCAGCATTTTTTTTGAAGCGCATTGTGTGCTTATCTTTTAATCCTGCCATTTCTAGTTCTGGGGAGGCCTCTTGGAAAAAGAGGAGAGACTGAAACAGCACTAGTGATAACAAGGAGAAAAAGAAGAAAATAAAAATAGAGGAATGTGGGGGTGGGAAGACATACTTCTAATATTTTCTTCATATTGAATTGGAGTTAAGGACCCTGCAAGACACTTAACTACTTTTATTCATGTTTGAGACACTAAATTTGTATTTAATTTGTATTGCCTATTTTCTACGTTCTGCTCTAACAAGAGAAGAAAAGACAACTTACATTCTTAAAAAACAAAACAAAACCCTTGCAAAGCCACTTGTTTAAATTTAGTAAAAATAGAAGGAAATGATTCATCCAGAAACTGGACAGTTTCTAATAGTGAAAGCACTGCAACGTTTCTCTTCCTTTTTCCCCCACTTTCTGTTTGATTGATTGATGTATTTATTCTCTAGAAAGAGCTGGGAGACAAGCGGTCAGAAAGCATTGACAAGGTTCGCCAGCTGCTCCCTTTGCCAAAGCAGACGTGTGACATTATTACTTGTGAGCCAATGGGATCCTTGATCGACACCAAGGGGAACAAAATTGCAGGATTTGACTCCATTGATAAGAAACAGGCAAGAGTATACGTTTGCTTTGATCTCAGTTTTTCCATGATTTTTGAAGTGTGGGAAGTTCAAGCAGACAGGTACAGCTTGTCCAGTACGTGCATTTGTATGCAGTATCATAAAAGCACTGTACATCTGCTCTAATACAGCTTTCTAATGCACTCAGTATGCAGTATCATAAAAGCACTGTACATCTCCTGTAATACAGCTTCTAATGCTGTCATTGCTAAAGCTTCAGCCACAGCACTGCAGTCTCTTGTAAACAGGAGCCTTTGTGTGAGCGGTGATGCTGAAAGTGAGGAATGCTGGGCTTGTAGAATAATACCTTTAAAAATCATAGCAAATGACGGACCGGTTTTTGGTATCAAATTTTTTTCCATTCCAAATAATCTTGCACAGTTTTTGTTTGCATGATCCATGTGAAAATTCCCAGGCAGAGTTGTGAAACCTGGAGTGGGTTTGGAGAGGCACCCAGGGAGTTGTTAAACCCCAGCCGAAGGGTTTGAGCAGCCTGGTCTGCCTTGGACCATGGACCAGCATCACCACCCCTGCGGCAGCACCCACAGTGATTCCTTCCTTCTCCCCCTGACGACTCTCTGCTACTTGCAGATAGTCTCAGAACCTTAGAGATATATACGTCTTTAATGGAAACAGTTTTATGCTACTTGTGCAAATTCAAAACTTTGGGCAACCTTTCACTTGCTGGTTTGTTTAAAATTCAGTCACGATGTTTGCTGCATGCCCTTCCTTGTTAAATCCACAGAGCACACGGTCAATTTGTAACTGCTAATGTGATGAGCGTTGACATAAGCTTGCTCAATTTTGCAATATAGGGTCTTGACTGATGTCAGCCAACTCCACAAAAGTTGCCAAAAAGGAAATTACATTTGACTTGAACAGCAGAAACTCTTACAAAAGTATTTGCTTTTCAAGCAGAATCCTACATTTGAGAGCTCGCTTGACCTGGGAACCTTTTGACATGTTACTTGCTGGGAAGAAGGCGGAGGGTGATGCAGCTTACAAAAGACAGAGGAGGGGGTGGGTGGGGGGAAAGTGTATGAGTTGGTTTGGTTTTTTTGGGAATATGAAGGGATGCATAATTTTTTAAAAAATACTTAATTTGAAAGAGGAGGATAAAGCTTAGGATAGAGCTCTTTAGTCTGCAGACTGGGTAGACTTTTTTTGTGATGTAGTGTTTAGGCTTTCTCCCCTTTTTTAAATAGGTGAGCTTCTAGCAAAGGTATTCTCGGAGTAGCAATTTATGATAAATATTTGACTTTTCCTTTGAAATTAGATGGATGGTGATTGAGATTTCTAGCACAGCTATAAGCAAATGGTACTATAAAAATATAATTGCTTTTATCTAGTGGAGGCCTTAAATAGAAGTTAAAATCCCACCAGTATTCATTTGGCACATTTTGTGAAGAGGAAAAAAGCCTACTGGATTTTTTTGACTCAACTAAGGATGTACAAAAGCAAGTATTCTGCTCTAGTGTTCAACTTCTTTAAAATACTAACTTTTATTCTGAAACAGGGTCTTCAGGTTTCAACGAAGCAAAAGGTGTCCCCTTGGGATTTATTTGAAGGTCACAAAAATCCTGCTCCTCTTTCCTGGGCATGGTTTGGTACCGTTCGTGTCGACAGGAAAGTGATAAAATATGAGGAACAGCAGCATCTCCTCCTGTACCACACACACACCAAACCCAAGCCACGGAGTTACTACCTCGAGCCCTTGCCCCTTCCTCCAGAGGAGGAGGAGGAAGAGCCCACCACACCTGTCTCTCAGGAACCAGAAAGAAAGTCAGGAGAGCTGTCAGATCAGGGAAAACTTATCACGGATGATGAGAAGAAGACAAAAGGCAGGAAGCGAAAGTCAAAATCAAGTTCAAGGGCTGATGTAAGTAGTTGGTGCCTCATACAAAACTTGCAATATCTCACCGAAGCACCTGATATTGCAAAGTGCTGTCTTAGCTACCTTCAGAAATCGTTCTGCACCTGGAGAAGCAGCTCCTAATAAAAGGAGTGAATAGAGATGGTCAGAAGGAGGGTGGATTTCTATCAGGTAGAGCTCAGTGTAGAGCAATGTACCATGCTTAGGACCTCACATGCCATATAAAATATGCTAGACTGATCCTACTCGCTAAATATTACTCCGGGCTCCATATATCCTTTCTCTTGTTTGGTGTAAAGTACAGCTGTTATTGTTTATAGCAATTTCTAAAATTCCTCGTGTTCAAATTGTGGAGACCAAATGTTTGTTCAAACCCAGGTCCCGTTTAAATGGAAAACAATTTGAAAGAAGCTCTTTCACATGGATAAACTCTTCTACTGTGTGGTTTGTTCTGGTTTCTCAGACACTTTCCCTTTTGGTTTTAATGGCTTTTGAGATGTGGGTTCCTTCCTAAGCTAAAGAATCCCTTAGACCAAATGTTTTAAAAATTGTTCCTGGCACCACCCAAATAATAATGTACATTTACAGTAGCAGGATTCTGCGGGTTTATGTCCTCTTCACACTGCTGCCAGTGTAGTCTTACATATTGTAGATGTGATAGTGTTCTGTCAGCATCCAGCTGGTTTGTCAGGGTGTTGTGTTTTAAGTAGTTGTAATTTTAAGATCATTTTCTGACCTTTTTGATATTTCAGTTCCTCTTGTTAGTTACATACTGATACGGTAAGCTGTCCTTGTGCTATACCTAATTATAGCCTGCTAATAAGGTAAAAATGGATGGTGTGTCTATGAAGTTGTTAGTGTTAATTACCTGTGGGCAGCCTGAGACTTAATCTATTTTTTACATCATTGCAAACGACAATGGGACCTGTCTCTGTCCTTTAATAATTTAGTAGGAAAATTGGCATTATTTATGAGTTAGTAAGGTATGAATGTCAGTAACATTCACTTTTACTGTGTATTTTAAGGAATATCCACAGAATAACTTATATAGAGTGCCTCCCACTTATTCACCGATTTCCTCTCAAATGATGCACCATCCCCAGTCTGCCTTGTGGGGTTACAACATCATGGGACAGCCGCCGCAGCCCAGCTTCTTTGTGCAGAACCAGCCCCTCCCACCAGGTATGTGTAAGCTTTGAATTCACAGACATGGGGCTTTATTATTTGATGTATGATAAAAATTGACTTCTTATAGCCACATTCTTTTTCTAACTTTCCCCGAAGCCAGTTGTGTCTGCTGATGCCATCTATTTTATTCCTTTAGTTAGCCCTTTTTTTGAAGGGCTTTCTATTATCGGTTGTAGGTCTGCCTCAATTAAGCTATGAAACTTTCTTGGTAGATAAGCAAAAATTGCCTACTCTGGGATTTGTGGTGATAGTCCAAGAAACTTGGTAGAAATTCAATGAGGAGTTAAATAAGAGAGGGATGATTAAAAGGAACAAATGACCTTTGGGTTATTTCTGTTACAATTCATACCAAGAACCGTGATGGCTATTTAACATCTGCTAGATGTAATAAATAAATTCATGGGCTCACTTTTTTTTCAGCATTTGTGATATGTGCTTAATTTTTCGTAGAATTGTTTTGTTTCTTCCAGTTAATGTGTACACAGTTTAACATAGGTATTTTACTTGCTCTAGGGGGCAGCAGCTTATGGTGTTTTGAGAAATATTGTGTTCTTCTCTGATACTACGCAGAAGTTTAGAAGTTTTGTTCCAGTTAAAATTTTAGATATTCTTTCTGAAGCTCCAAATACAACTAGATCTGTATTTTAAGTGTGTAAAAGTCTTCAGACTATACCAGACAGTGGCTAAAAAGTTTAAGGAAATGCTGATTTTAAAAACAAATATTTAAGATTACCTTTGTAAGTCTGACTTGTAGATACGTGATTTTTATCAGATAGCAGAGAGTGCATAAATTACTGCCATCTCATTATAAAATTGGCTTGATGTAATTAGCTGTTATCAGTAGTAGTCAAATGTTTTATGTGACATAGAATATGCAATAGCCCTTAGCCTTTTTACTTTTTGTTGTAATTTACAAGGGATAGCCTTCAAAGTTATTTTGCCTGTTCAATTTTTCAGGCCAGTAATCTGGTTTAATCCAGTTCACTGTCTGCCTTTACAGAGGCTGATGAATTAACTGTGATCTGTACTGACATCACTCTTACAGAAGACAGAGACTACCTTTGTGTTTTGGGTGGTTTTCAGGTGGTTCCAGGCTGGATCCGACAGGCTCCTTTGTTCCAACGAACACGAAGCAAGCCCTGTCGAACATGCTGCAGCGGCGCTCTGGCACCATGATGCAGCCCCCCTCTATCCATGCCATCACGCCTCAGCAGCAGTTGCTCCAGATGAAACTCCTGCAGCAAGAGCAGCAGCAGCAGCAGCGGCTCCTCAGGCAGCAAGCACAGTCACGGTCTCTCCAACAGGTTTGTCCAAACCCCCAAATCTGAAGAGCACCACGGTGGTTTTGCCTTCCGCTGGGGTTGCTTGCCCTGCGCAGGCTTACGGAGTGGAGAGCCAGCTGATACTTACAATTGCAATAATTGCCCTAATATTGCTTAGCCAGGGCCATCTGCTTTTGAACTTCATTTGCCCTTTGGTCCTTTAGCCTCTTCTGGTTTTCCTGTGTTTCATAAAATTAGGTTTTGCTTCTGCTACTTCATGATATTTTTGTTCCCTGTTGTGTCACAGAGGCTTTCTTAGTGTGATTGCCTGGTGCTGTGTAGTTGGCAGCAGAGGCACAGCAACACTCCTCACAATTGAAACCCCAGGAAGTCCACCAGGAGCCATTTCCATACATGTGTGCACACAGGCACCCGTGGTCTCTAGAAATAGCTGGTATTTCTTCTATTAACATTTTTGTAGAGGACAGCTGCTGTGTGCCAAAGTGCACACAGCTGTTGTGCAACACCCTTCAGAGCCTGAGCTCCTTCTCGGAATATGGCTACAGACAGGCTGCTTTTGGCTTAATGATGTAAGAATAGAAAATTGTTTTTTGGATCCCAGATAACCTGCAATACGTGTAAAGTAATTGGTGGTAAAACCAGTAACTTCTCACCTTTATTTTAAAGTCTTCCTGTACCCGTTCTTACCCTCATGGCAGAATATATTACATTGCCTTTATGCTGTTTTGCCTTCAAACTCTGTGATGTGCCCTCTTTGCTCAAAATAGTCCACATTTTCAGGAAATATCCTCATAATTTCTCCCATGCTGTTTCTATTTTATGGCTCCCTCTTTATCCCTCTCATCCATCTTTGAGTCTCTCTGCCATGATACAGGCAAAGCCCTTTATAGTGCTAAAATTGCTGATGGGCTTGCAGTAGTTTTTTATGGGGCTGTTCATAATTGTGAAACCAGGGTTTCCCTGTGTGTGTATGCTGTCTCCTACAAAAAAAAAGAAAAAAGCAGTCCCCCAAAGTTGTGGATGTGTGTTTTATAATATCAGTGGTACAGTGGATATTTAATCCCATATTGGTGCCCTGTAGGCACTATGAGGTATTAAGGATCAGGTACCCTAAATGTCAGGCTACTGGGCTCTACAGTGAGCCATTGCTCCCTATTTGATAGAAGCTCTGTAGTATTTCTTACACTATCTCACTATTTTAGTGTTAGTCCAACTGGCTTTCAATTACGATGAGAGAATCCAGGCTTAAATAAGAGTGGTGAGTAAACAAATGATGATCACTACTTATGGCTAGGTGGATCAAAAAGTGAAGATTTAAAATAACATGTTATTCTCACATTTAAGAAATGCTGTTGTTTAACTGTCACATTTTGAAGACAAAAGATGATGCATTTCCCTTTTGGTTTCAAACAAGGACAGTATCTGAGGTGTTAAGAACAAAGGTTAACTCCTCCAAAGTTGCATAGACAGGTTGTCAGTAAGGAGAATAATAACCTTGCCATGAAGGCATGAATCCATGCCTAAATAAGATTAATAAAGTGTCTGTGATAAACTTTTTAACAAAATTTGGATCAAACTTTTACAGTGTAAAAGTTGCACTAAAACTCAGCAGAGTAGGTTCAGATGCATATTTCAGTTGAGATTCGACATATGCCAGATGTTCATCAGTCAGTGGTTCTGTATCAGCCATGGTTTTATTTCTGCAATGTCAGTGTGAGTTAAAGTGATGTAAACCAAGTCAAACCAGAGCCATCCAACCTGGCCATTGTTTCCCAGTTACTTCCACACAGTGGCATACACAGCCAGGTCCTTTGTCCCTTGGGGCAGGGAGCACCCCAGATGGACACTGTTGTCTTTCTGGTTCTAATATATTGCCTTAGTGGATGTTTGGGAAGAATCATGATCAGGGGGCTGGAGCACCTCTCCTGTGAAGACAGAGCTGGGGTTGTTCAGCCTGGAGAAGGGAAGGCTCTGGGGAGATCTTACAGCAGCCTTCCAGTGAGGGGAGCCTACAGGAGAGCCGGAGAGGGACTCTTTGTCAGGGAGTGTAGCGATAGGATGAGAGGTAATGGTTTTAAATTGAAAGAGATTCAGATTAGATACTAGAAAAAAATTCTTTACTGTGAGGGTGGCAAGGCACTGGCACAGGTTGCCCAGAGAAGCTGTGGATGCTCCATCCCTGGAAGTGTTCAAGGCCAGATTGGATGGGGCTTTGAGCAACCTGCTCTGGTGGGAGGTGTCCCTGCCCAGGGCAGGGGGTTGGAACTCGATGATCTCTAAGGTCCCTTCCATCTCTAACCATTCTATGACTCCATGATTCAGCCTGATGCTTGAAAACTTTCACTGTAATGAAGTGGATGAACAGTTCACCAGGCTGCCCTGTCTGCTTTCCTTGTCTCAGTGTGTGCTGGTCCCTCCAAGGTCCCAGTGGCACTGGGGCTTTGCCTGCTTCCCAGCACCCTGGGCTGCCCGGGTGGGACACCTGCCTGCACGCATTGTGCTCCAGTTCAGAAACATGTCCTGGGGACCTTGTGGTTCTTCCTGCAGTCCTGGATTTCGACCAGGAAATGCTGTGGCACTGTACAAGCCTGAAGGTAGTAGCTGAAAATTTAGGAACAAGATGATTTGGAAGCATTGCTTCTGTGTGGTGCGTGTTGTTGTTAGGTAGAGCTTAAATAAGGAAGGCTTCTTCTTTGGTTTTTGGGTTTCTGCAGCTGCAGAAAGAAATTGCCTACTCGGCTTGAAATCACTGGCACCGGTGTGGAGAGTTCTGTAAAATCAGTCCAGGAGGACTCTGCTCTTTAGTGCTGTGCTGCACTTGCTGTGCTCTTGAAAACAAATAGCTGTGGTGAAAGGTCTTTCAGAATGACATCTTGTTAAAAAAATTTCAGTGTTATGTATAGAACTAATGGGCTCCTGTGAATGCTGAGGAGTCCTTTCCATGTTTAGAGTTTCTCTTCAAAATTTCACAAAAGTATTGAGGTTCATTAGCATAAAAAACACCTAAAAGGACCTTGTTAGTGTTCCTAAACTCCAGCATTCTATGAGTACGTACAGGTGAGCTCCGTAAAAGTGCTGTACTGCTTCACTAACAATCCAAGCTTTATCTTGTATATTCTTTATATTGTTTGCTATTTTCTCGCTTGTCCTTTTCCTTTAGGATGTCTGTAGCACTGCTGTATCCCTTCAGGATGGCTTTGACAACATAATGGTAACCACTCTGAGACCGTGAACTTCTCTTTATTTTTTCTTTTGCACAAACATGCATTTATTTCCACACACAGGCTGCACACGTTGCTTTTGATGAGAATGGTATGCTTTGGCACTCCTCTCACCTAGGTAGCTCAGTGGCTGCATGTGGGAAGGCTGTGAATACACCTGCACACATAGAAAATTTTTTTTTCTTACAAATATTTCCAACAATTGCATCATTGATCAATTTTTTTCCTCTTCTGTTGTGTTTCTCACAGTGAAAGATTAGAGTAGCTGCGAGGTATGTCCGATGCCATGTCCATCTAAGCCTGGCTGGCGTGTTCCTGTTCTGCCCTTGTCTCCCCACCGGCAGCTGGGTCTGCTCCTCTCTGCTGCCATCAGCTGTGTGGCAGTAAGGGATGGACCACACATCCTGCTTGGCCACCAGAGCTTCCCAGGCAGCACTGGGAGCTTCTTCCTGCTGTGGTGGGACACAGTCGTGTCACTCAGCTCAGGCAGCAAGAGTCAGCTCCCCTGGCCGGGTGTGAGCTGTAGGTTCCAGAATACCAAGATGATTCTTGTCCCATCTGAGCAGGACAGTATGCTGCCTGGTGTCTCTGAGCTATGGCAGGATGTGCACTTATTAGAATAACCAGTTTTTGTTACTTCCAAAACAAATAACAGCTAACACCTACATGTTAAATTATTACGCTTCATAGAATTCAATTTTCTGGGGGAAAACAGTGATGGCATGAAGCTTCTGAGCTATGGCAGGATGTGCACTTATTAGAACAAGCAGTTTTTGTTACTTCCAAAACAAGTAACAGCTAACACCTACCTGTTAAATCATTACGCTTCATAGAATTCAGTTTTCTGGGGGAAAACAGTGATGGCATGAGCTTTGTCCCTAATATCTGTGTTGAAAAGCTTTCCAGATATTAATTAGAAGACCTGTTTCGGTGTTACTTTGCAGGACTTTCGTCCTGTTTTAGGGAAACTGCAATATTCTTAAAAGCACTAATTGGAAAGACAAAGCAAAATGTGTTTTCGAAAAGGCTGTGCTGTTTTCCCTCTTGTCTATATTTTATATAGGGGCAACCATTCGTGTTGTTACTGGCAGCATATCAGAAGAGAGTGTAGATGACCATATCTGCAGTTAATTGGGCGTACCTAGTTATGCAGCAAGGATACAGTGAGGGCTTTCAATTCTGTCATCGTCATCTTATCTAAATAAGCGTTAGTGTTTCATTGCCTACTTTCAGTGTCAGATTTGGTCAGATTTTGGTCAAAATCTGCCTAAAGCTGCTACAATCACCTTTGCTAGTCCCAGCACTGCTTAGAAAAGAAAATTCCCTCCGAACACACTATGGCCACATACCTTAACAGGAAGAAGCAGTAAGTTGTGCTTCAACGTAAGGTAAAGAGAACAGTGATTATTACTGTAGCATTGCATCAGCATTGTATGCAAGTATTTGGGTTTTTTCTCTTTTTTTTGTTGTTTTGTTTTTGTTTGACATGCATGCAGTTCTGGCTTGCAGCAATCAGCTTGCATGTTTAGTTAATTCTTTACTAAATTATGCAGGGAGGGAGAAGTCCCCTTGAACTAAGCAACATCGGCTGCTGCTCCTCAGGAATGCAGAGCTCGCTCTCACAACACCGGGGCTCGCTCCGTGGCCGTGTACTGCTGAGAAATAAATTGATCTGTCCCCTACCTAATGAACAGCTTTTTTGCTTGCATTTCACGTGTGGTTCTGCTTGTGGTGCTTGCCTGGCCTGGGCGGTGGTGCCTTCGGTACAGGTGCTGCTCTGGAGTCCCACCCTGCCAAGCTCTGCTGCTCGTGTGCGCTTTAAATGGCAGGGAAAAGATCTGTGGGCAAAACTCACTTGGGGCTTTCTGCCCACCCTGTGTTGCTGGGAACACGCAGCTGCTTGTTTAGGAATTTCTTACGGAATTAGGGCCTGATTCAGTTTCCATTCATCCGATTTCCACTGGCTTCGCAGGGACACGGTTTGCACTGCATGGGCATGAGGGGACAAATTTTGCTCTTGGGCACCCCAGGTTAGCTGTCACTGAGAGAAACAGAAGAAAAGCACACGGAGCACTGCTCCACAGAACCCACCAGGTGCTTGTGTTACTGCAGGGAATAGCTTAAGGCACCAGCTTTTCTAGAAATCAGTCATGATTTTTCCAGATTTCACCTTTGGGTGACTTCAAGTTGCATCTTTATCTATCCTGTGATTGGTACCTTGCGAAAAAGTTTCAGAAGCAATTTCCTCAGAGAATTTATTGGTGGTTTTTGTTTCTCTTCTTTTGCCTCTGTTTTAAAAAAAAAGAAAAAATCTTAAGTTGTTGAGTACCTTCCCCCTGTACTTGGTTGACACCTGTTTATGTGCATCCCAACTGCAAGATGTATGTTCTGTTCTGTGTTTCAGTTTCTCATCTATCAGGTGGTTGTTTTGAGAGCTTCCTGTCTGATTTTGCAGATGTTTTTCCAGATAAATTTAATTTACCCTGCGCTTTTGTCAAGACTGACGGAAGTTACTCTGTTCACACCTCCTAATAAGTTTTTGAGAATTTTCCATGAGACAGTGGCTTGTTTTTGAAACAAATCCTTAGTGTAGCTTCTGCCTCCGTAGTGTAACTGACCGTCTCAGAGCTGGCTGCTGTCCTGCCTGCGCCTTAGTGACCCCTGTAGCGGTGGTCCCAGGGGCTGGCACAGAGCCTAGCTGGGTCAGTCTTTTTTGCTTGCTTGCTTTTGAAAGAAAGGAAGGTATGAAAAATGTGTATGCCAACCCTGTGGTAGCTCTGCCCTTGGTTTTGCATCATGTCCTTGACTTCTTCTGTCTGTTCTCTACCCAAAGCATAGAGCGGTTAATCACAGTGATCCATGTCTCTTGGGGCTGGGTCAGTTGAAGCTGGAAAACTTTCTCTCTGCCACACTCCTTCCTTGAGTGATTCCCATTCACAATAGGTAGCTCTGCTTGTTTCTCAGGTCTGTCAATGAAGATGCACATTTTTTTAAACCCAATCCAAAATAATCGCTGAACTGCAGGGCTGCTGGTTGTGCTTACAGACCTGTTAATGTTCAGTGCAGTTACCACTAAAGGGATGGGAGCAGATAAAGGGGAGTTCCAATGGTGCTTCAGTATTTTATCCCATGTAAGGTTCCCTTTACCACCGGACAGCCCTGATTGTAATGTTGCTGCTTGCATTGTGTTACCAAAGTCACTTTTAGCCTCAAATTATAATGCATCTCTGTAAGGATATCCTGATTAAAATGGCAAAGGCTTTGTTGGAGGACTTGGATTTTTTTGTTTGTTTTTTTGTGGTGAACTGGACAGCTACAAGGAAGAAGCATCACTGCTTCCAGCTCATGTCTACCACTGGGCTTTTTAAAGTAGAATGGTTTTCAATATGATCAAGTGCAGCATCACAATCACACAGAAAATACACAGACTTGATTGTGTCTTTGGCAAGTTCTCATTCACCAGTTTTTACAATCTTGGTCCTGAAATTAAGTCTAACATTTTCTTTTTTTCCCCTTTTTCTGGTGCTTCAAAACATATTAATGCAATTATAGTTGAAATTTTTAAATTATTTGGCATTAATTGGGCATAAATATGGAGGTAATTTGAAATGAGCAAACCAGGCTGTCTGCTGATCAGAAACAGGGAGTGTGTTTCCAAGCTGTACTGGTTGGGAGCTGGAGATGCTGCGTTATTACCCATTTATCAAACTGGTATTTTGTATGTCATCATAAAATTTGCTAACCAGCATTTGCCTGCTCTGTCTGGGGGAAAGCTAATAATCATGTAACCTGAAAAAGATATCAGCTGTGTATTTTTTACTGGGGATTATCATTCACTCTAAGCTTCCTATATAATTTAATGTACTGTCTTCAAGACAGCTAGAATATTTTTTTCCTAATCCTTTCTAAAGCCCCATTTTAAAGGGTGTCTGCAAGACCCCTGGTCAATAAATGGCAGTTTCTTCACTGCTGCAGTGTTACAGTCATGTCAGAAATCAAACAAAAGTCAATTCTTCCATCTTTCTATGCGTAAATGCTGTTCAGCAGTTTGGCACTGGGCAGCAGTGCTGTCTTGAAGGGGATGGTCAAGTCTCTCCATGACTTGTTAGGACACAAGTTGATGGGGTTTGTGTCCAGAGCTGGACATGATGGGGGTGTGGAGGCTGTATCTGATGGGCGATGTATCTTTCAGGGTCAGCCGATGGACCAAGCTGCTATTTTCACTCCACAAGTCCGACCCCCGTCTCAGCTTCCACAGTACCCAGGGTTACAGCAAGCACAGGTACTGCACTGCTCCCATGGAGCGTATGCATAAAAATGCTTTTAAAAAGAGCTCCTTTACCTCCCAGCCTGATTTTCGATGTGTGGGACGTGCCTCCTGTGTGTGGCCTAGGGTAACGGTGAGTCTTCTTTCTAGGATGGTTGTGGTCTCCACACGCTGTAGCTTGTAAACGTGTTTAATGTGGTCACTTCCCAGTTCTTCGCAACGTTGTTGCTGTAAAAGCAAGCATACTTCTGTGTTAAGCCTGAAATTTAGCCAAATTTTGGTGAGATCGTGATACCAGCAACTCTTCATTATGTCATGGTCATTCTGGTACTTGGGATTTGGAGGAGGAACAAAGGAAAGAGAGAGGTGCAGCTGTGGAGCAGAGCCCCTGCTCTTGCTCAGTGCCTGCCCAGGGACGGGTGGCACGGGTGCACGTCCCATCCTGCTGTGTGTGGCCACGGTGCAGCTGCCTGAACCCACAAAGAGAAGTGGGGGACTCACACGTTGGTGTGTGGGCATCTCACTGACTTACCTCCGGTTGTCCAGGCTCTTTGGTAAACGCCATCTCTTTCTTTTAGAGTGAAGCTAAATTAAGGTCGAGCACGTTGAAGTTACTTTTCTGCCTGTTTTCCCCACAGAGCATGCCTCACGGATACACCATGTACAGCACTCAGATGCCTTTGCAGCAGCAGCAGCCCGGCGGCGTGGTGCTTTCCCCCAGCTACACCCCCAGGACCTACCCCGCGGCCCACTCCAGCCCCGCGCTGGCCGAGAGGCTGCGGCAGATGCAGCAGCAGCCCGGCGGGTACATCCAGCAGCAGGCTGCTGCCTACATCCAGCCTCTGGCAGGCACCCCCCGGTGAGCCTCTGCACTTCTCCCAGCTGGTAACATTGCAGGATTGTAATGGCATTGCTTTAGAGATCTAAAGCTTCATTTAAAATGAAGTGTATTAATCAAGATGAAGTTGATGCTGGGTCTAATTAGCAATAAATATGCCTTTCTCTCCAATTTCCTCCTGTTTTTCTTTTTCCCCTCATTTAATTTTTAGTTTAAGTTGGTCGTGGAACATGTTGTAGCACAGTTGTCCTGTGTGATTGTAGAACGTAAAAATTCATTTAAAGATGGCTGTTGGTTCCCATTTCACTACACACACAGATATGGTATCCATATTATGCAAACACGTGTGTGGTATTAAACAATAAATATTCCAATATACTGTAGTCAAGAAAACACAAGTTCCAAAAGAACTTCAAAAGGTTTTGCCTTGACTTCATTGTCAGCCATGTATGAAAACCTACAGAGAGCACTGTGTTAGGAATAAAGCTGCTAACCTGAATTGCTTTGTCTTTACTGAGTTTTAAACAGCTAATTTAAATTACAAGCTTGTTAATTTCCCTATGTATGTCTTTCCCTTTTTGTTAATGTTAATCACTCCCATAACATCCTAAGAAAGTATCTTTTGCTTGGTGGGTTTTTTTAGTATTTTAGAAAGTAAAAAGTCTTTATGATCAGTTTTAAATTCACGATAAGGTAACGATGAGATGTTTTGGTTGGGAGAATGTTTTAGCGCTTATGTGGAATTCTTGCTTGAAATGTACAAACTCACTCTTCCTAGGAAAGCAAGAACTGAATGCTTGGATCTGTTCTTCTCGTTAGAGGAATGTGTTATTACAGCAGTTACTGGGCAGTAGTACAGTACAGCTTCTATTATGGAATAATTTTCAAAGCATTCATGTTTGGAAATATATTCTTCCTGTAAAATGTAACGTCTTTTAAGTCTATAGAAGTCTGATGTCAGAGGATATAGTAGAGTAATCCTACTTGTGCTCTATCTATAAATGAAGTATAATCCATTGTTATTTTCCCCCGATCAGGCTGAGCCATCAGCCTTTGCAGCCGAATTCTCTGGTTGGAGGGGGACTGGACAGTCCATCGCCGGCGGGTCCTCATCCGGCCCTGAGCGCGGTGCCGCTGCCTCCGGAGCCCGTCAGACAGAGACAGCAGCAGATGCGGCAGCAGAGGCTCTTCCAGGTGAGGGGCTCAGCTGCCACGGAGACCCGGGGAGTTTCGGTGCAGGAAGGGAGTGTAGACATCACTGCCTCGGGTGATGTACTCACTTGTGTCTTCAAGTCTGAAGCAGCAGAGCCTGGTGCTATAAACCCAAACAGCTTTTAACCCAAGTCCAATAATTCATTGTTTTTCCAAGCAGCAGAGCCTGGTGCTATAAACCCAAACTGCTTTTAACCCAAGTCCAGTAATTCATTGTTTATGTTTGGAATTTCCAAAAGAGAGCTCTGGACTTACATGTAAAATTCCTCATCCGGCCCTGAGCGCGGTGCCGCTGCCTCCGGAGCCCGTCAGACAGAGACAGCAGCAGATGCGGCAGCAGAGGCTCTTCCAGGTGAGGGGCTCAGCTGCCACGGAGACCCGGGGAGTTTCGGTGCAGGAAGGGAGTGTAGACATCACTGCCTCGGGTGATGTACTCACTTGTGTCTTCAAGTCTGAAGCAGCAGAGCCTGGTGCTATAAACCCAAACAGCTTTTAACCCAAGTCCAATAATTCATTGTTTTTCCAAATTTCCAAAAGAGAGCTCTGGACTTACATGTAAAATTCAGTACTTTATTTCTCAAGATTGTAGCATGCCTCTGGAGAAGGTATATTTGAGGATGGCCAAGCCCAATGTGCTGAGACAAAAGCAGCGGTTGTGCTCTCCCCTGTCTGGCCTTATATTGTACACCAGAATTAAATTGAAAGGCTTGGCTTGCTTCCTGTCTAGCCTATTTCCTATATTCTAATTTGATGATACATTTTTAATTTGAAAGTAAGTATCAGTTTATCAGCTAAATATGTAGGGAAATAAATTGCATTAAAATCCTTCCCGTGGCCCTTTGATGGTTGGAATTATTTTCATGTTATCATCTCAATGCAATAGCCATCCATGCCAGTTCCTGTTGAACAACGTATTTTATCTAAATATTTTGATGTTGTAGTAAACTAAATATACCAGACTTTAAGTATTTTTTGGTCTATTATCAATGTTCCTTGTCAGCCTCGGTGTGGCTGGCGGTGAAAGCGGAGAGGTGTGAGGTTTATCTCCCAAACGGGGCCATCAGTGACCAGTGCTGCAAGCCAGCCCAGCTCCTGTGCTGGCCACCAGTCCTGAGCAGCCATAACAGCTTGGCAGGTAGTCCTTCCCCGAGGCAGAGCGCGTGTCATGTGGCTGTGGTTTCAATGCCCATCTCCTTTCAGTTGCAGCAGCAGCAGGGGCAGCAGCAGGCGCTTGGTCTCCAGCCCGTGCAACCGCAGCAGCCTTTGGTAAGCGGAGGCGACTGCTGGGTATTTTGGGGAACTAGTTTTTGCTGTAACACTGCGAAAAACGTTCACTTGGAGCTGGTTGGCATTTCCCCACCTTGCTGTGCTCCTCCTGTGCCTGAGCATCCCTGCTCCCCCTGCTCCCTCTGGCGTCGGCTGCGGCCGCCAGCGGCTCCAACTCCACCAAACTCCAGCCCCTGCATAAGTCATGTCACAAGAGACTTGTGAGTGACTTCAGGCCTTCAATTTTTAGGATGTACTGCTAACATGCTGGGGAAAAATGGGTTTTATTGTTTGAAGATCCTTTTAAATTAGATCATTAGTCATAAAACGGAGCTGCGTGACATCAGCTGTACAAACCGAATTGTTCGTGAGACGTTCCTTGATGCTGAATTGCAGCCTTTTTTAGCTCAATATATGATTTTACCAAATCACTGTCACTACCACATAATTTTTATGGACACATCCACTGAATTTACAATGTCATTATGCTTCTTTCCTGTATTTGGGCAGGTTTTTTCAGACGTAGTTAAGGTAGTTGAGGATAACTAGAAAAAGTTTGCTGTAGAAAAATGGAGAAAATACAGTATTGCTGAAATTGCTAGCCTCTGAGTTTAAAGCATTAATCAACATGATGTTATAGAGAAACTGGAGGTGGCTTGTAAGTTCAAGAGTAAGAATAAATGAAAGGAGTTTATCTGAGAGCTATTGAAAGATCATTTTCATCCATTTTTGAGTTTTTCTTAATAGTGTTCAATATCTTGAACAAAGTGCATGTGAAAGACTGCACGGAGACAGAGCACCTGCCTGGCTGTGGGCTCCTCTTCCAGCACTTAGCACAGCAGAAAGCTTTCTGCGTGTTGGTTTCGTGTCCCCAAAAAACCCTGGTGTGGTTAATGCTTTTACTAACCTCAGCATTTACTGAGGACTGTTAGCCAGAAGATTACACAATATATTTTAAGTGAAGGATTTGGTTTCAGAAAGGGAAAAGATGCTGAAGTCTTGTAAAACACTGAAACTCCCTTCAGTAAGCAAAAGGTTTCACTGAAACAAAGCCTGGGTGTTTTGTGTAGTGCCAGTGATGTTATTAAAGTATTGAATAACTCCATTTTTATTCAGCACATCAGGTTTTCAAACTGGTCAGGCTTATTGTGTGTCCTTGTGCAGAAGCACAAAAAAATCACTTAGAGGCACATGCATTTTCACCAAATCTAATGAGAAGGAAAACTCCAGGACTTAGGAGGCAGATCTAGAGAGCTTAGAGATGCTGAGGGTAAGAGAGACAGTAAATGGTGAGGGATTGGTGTGGTTTGTGCTTGCTGGCATAGCAGTACCTCATGCATCACGATGCACTTAGAGGCACATGCATTTTCACCAAATCTAATGAGAAGGAAAACTCCAGGACTTAGGAGGCAGATCTAGAGAGCTTAGAGATGCTGAGGGTAAGAGAGACAGTAAATGGTGAGGGATTGGTGTGGTTTGTGCTTGCTGGCATAGCAGTACCTCGTGCATCACGATGCCCTTCCCAGGAGTAGGTAAGAATGAGGGACTTGTGCCCTCAGCTCCCTGTCCACGGGAGTCTGAAATAGGTCCTGCACAGACCGTTTTCTTTCACGTGGGTGACACATTTTCCAAGGGAAGAAATGCTTCTTGTATTGGCAGCCCCTTGGCCCCAGAGGTATCCATCCTAACAGCACACACAGACCAGCTTCTTGTATTGGCAGCCCCTTGGCCCCAGGGGTATCCATCCTCACGGCACACACACAGATTGTCTGTCGTAATTCAGCAGCGTGGTGTGCAGCATATTGGGTACTCTGGCATGCAGGTAGATGATCAATAACAGTTGTTAATAGAGAACCATTTTCTTCTGAAAGACAGCCAGAAGTGTGGAAAGGGAAGCCGTGCTTGTTCTCCTGCCCATCCTTACTTGAAAGATAGTCTTTGTGGGACAGATAGGTAGGGAATAATGCACGCTGTCAGACCAATTAAAAACTAAACTTTGCTTTGATGCAAGTATAAATAGGGTGCAAATTTGTAAAAGTCAATGCATTTACATCCCAGGGCACTTTCAAAGTGATTGAAGTCATGATTTAATTCATTAACAGCAGATGTCTTTGGAAGCCTTTTGTGTCCAATCCCTTTGTGCTTAATGCCATGGACTGGAAGGGCCTTGTCTCAATCCTGATCAGAACAATGATTATTTTGCTCAGTGGAGGAGTTGGCCCAGTCGTCTGGGCACTGATCCATCTCCCGTTCCACTGGAGCAGAGAATTGAGTGTGCAGCTACAGCCCCGCTGCAGGTGTGCAGCGCAGTGAGCAACGTGTGCTTTGTGCTCATCCTTCTTGTTATCTGGAGTGCCACTGCCCTGGGAAAAATATTTTTCAAGAAGCTTCTTTTGACTATTAGGCTTCAAGCACATGTCAGTGTTTTGAAGTGCTAGAAAGGCTGTTAATTTTGATTTGCAGTTTTGATTTGCCTTGTCTTTGAACAATACTGGCAGTAAAGCTGCTCGGGGTGACTTGCAGGATGAACACTGACCTCTCCAGAGGTGGAAAAGACGGAGACTGACTCCCTCCCCTGTGTCTGGCTGGACACATGTGGGGCTCGTAACACAACTGGAAATGTGTGAGATTTCAGGGAATGCAGAGGACAGATGTTCTGTGAGTTCTAATTGAGCTCCATGTGTCATTATTGTGCTGTGAAGGTCTGGTCAGGGCTGCCGTGGGGGCACCGCCTGCTGCTGATGGGGCAGCGTGAGCTGATCGCTTCTGCAGGAACCTGGGCTGGCACTGACCCTCTGCGAGTTCTTCCATCTTCCATCTTTCTCTTGCAGTTCCCAAGACAAGGCTTACAGCAGACACAGCAGCAGCAGCAGACAGCGGCGCTGGTCAGGCAGCTCCAGAAGCAGCTCTCTAGTAAGCATTTGTGTGCATAGATGTGTGTAAATATATATAGATATATATGTACATTTGAATATGGAATTGTCTTTCCGGAGGTGTTTTGCCTGTTTAAACGCTGCCATATATACATGTGAGTGATTTACCTACTGAAGGCTGGTTAACCATCCCAGTGGTGATGTCATACGAAAAGTCTCATGCTCCTGCATCCCATGGGTTTCTGTTGGTCTCCAGAGAAGCCCGAGTCACTGGGCTGGTGGCCCAATCACAAATTCCTGCATGTTTTCTCCCCTCCCTTCTACTGCAGGCAAAGCCCCCACAGGAACTAGCCCCTCTTGCATGCATTCAATGGGTGTATAAGGGAATGTATCAGCATGTTTGCTGCCGCTGCATGAAATACAGGTATTTTTCTGTATTTCTGTAGAGCACAGTCATGAGGCACAAAGGCTTCCCTTTGCTTTATCAACCAGGTAACCAGCCACAACAAGGAGTGAACCAGTTCGGGCATCCTTCACACTTCTGAATCAGCGATGGAAGGGAGACGTCATGTTACGTTTGCACTGAAGAACAGAACATTCAAAATTCAATGCACTAGTTATTGCTAGAAAGCAAACTTTAGTTTTCTTCTCTTATTATTTCCATAATTATTTTTCGTGCTGCAGTTGATGTGAATATGTAACAAGGTGGGTTTTTTGGGTTTGGGATTTTTTTTTTGCCTTTAACTAGATTTAAATGTATGGACTTGTGGGTCTATTTGAAGAATGTTATTGCAGATTTTATGAATTTGGTGCTTTTTAGGTCCTGTTAATTTTAAAGAGGACAAAGAATGCTGGATTTATTTATTTGTGGGAAACACTTTTTTGGGTTTGTTGATTTTTTTATTTTATTTTATTTTTTGGTTAAAGAACTGCACTGGACCAAACTGCTGAACTGAAAGGCACTTCCGATTTTGGCATAGAAGTTAATTTGTTCATTAAAATGTTCACCCTTTCTTTGTTGGTAGAACAAGCATCAGTTTAAATTGTGTTTATTTGACTGTAATTTTCATATGCACTTTATAAAGTTCCTTGTTTAAAGTACCAATTTTCTCTTGCTCTCATTGTGGTAAGAAGGTGCTGAGTGGGTTTATTGCTTGTATTAGAACTTCTTAAAGTTTATATTAAAAGCCACAATGTAATGTTAATAAAGCTACTAGAAGTAGCCGTGTTTCATATTTGGTCTTTTTCACATAAAGTTCATCAGTGCTGAGTTCTGAAGGAGTGCACGACGCAGCAAGAAGGACTGAACACTCAAATCAGGTTTTGCTCCATTTGTGTAGAGAAATCCCTGAGTCCTGGTAAAGCCTCACGGGAGGCGAATCTCTGCGTCTCACTCGACGCCCTCAGTAACAAACCTCGTACCAGCTTTCCCACAGTGAGAGGGGGAAAGCCACTGAAGTCCTTTCTGTAGTTCCAGCGCTGCCGTAACTGACAGCTCTGGGTACTGAAGTGGCCAAAAATGGGTTATTCCTGTTACCTGTGTCTGCTCCCCATGTTGTAGGGTAAGTCCTTCAAATTCCACGTTTGAGTTGTGATGGCTGGGTGAGTTTCAGCAGTGCAAGGCATTATGTGTTAACAGCTTTGTGCAAAACCACAGGTAAATTATAAATCAAAATTACTGCAAACTAATTACTACTCAAACCTGTTCAAATATGTCATAATTTTCCTCGTATTAGAGTTGAAAAAACAGTAGAAAGGTAATACGTTTTTATCTAATTTAGGAGTTAGTCTATATGAAGTTGGTTTTTTTTGTTTTGAATGCACTGATTTTGGAGGTGGAACATGCTTTTAAAATATACACAGGAATATTTTCTCCCTGTTTTGTATTAACTCAATTTGCTTACTTTACCACACAAAGAGTTTATCGATGGTGTCACAGTCAGGTGTTCTGTGCAGACGGAAGACTGCACTGCGAGTCTATATGAAGTTGGGTTTTTTTGTTTTGAATGCACTGATTTTGGAGGTGGAACATGTTTTTTAAATATACACAGGAATATTTTCTCCCTGTTTTGTATTAACTCAATTTGCTTACTTTACCATATAAAGAGTTTATCAATGGTGTCACAGTCAGGTGTTCTGTGGGGAGAGAGAAGACTGCACTGCACAAGCTTCAGAGGGCTGTGGGAGGAGTACAGCTGATGGAAGAATACTCACGACATGGAAATCTACAGACAAGTAAGTTTTGATTGGCTTTTACAATAGTCAATTAAGTCTTATTTATATAATTATTTCTGTTTAGGCTGGGTTGGTTTTTTTTTTTTGAAGATTTACTGTTCTTCACGGTAGTGGAAGCTATTGCAGATATTAACCAGTGAGACTGGTGTAATCCAGCCATTCTGTGGCTACTGCTCCATCAACGCTGTGGAAGGAGGGAACACGCCCACGGCAAACCCTATGTGGTTGACGTCAGAAAATGATCAAACCAGCAGAAAACCCATCCAAGCTGAGGTTACAGTCTTAAATAAAAGAAAACTAAAAATTCCCCAGGTTGATTGTGATGTGGTTATATGAGGCAGAACCCGCATCTGGCTCTTGGTTGCTTCTTAGACCTGTCTACTGAGTTGAGAAATCAGAGTTCTAAATTTATATGAAAATTGATGCAATTGTTTTCTAGTGAGAAATCTTTTAAAAATCCTTTTGTGACAACAGGAAAATGATACCAAGTGGGAGTGTTTCTACACACGATCTGTACAATTTCTCTAAACAGCACTAAACAGACCTTACTCTCCTGTTTGAAAATGAGAATAGACATGTTCTGTATGTATTATCCCAAAGTTCTTCAAAAAAAGACTGTGTGAAACAGCTGTATTGTTAAAAGTACTGCACTACTTGTTTCACCATTCAATATTTATTAAAAAAACATACTAAATATTCAAACATATTAAGAAGATAATCTGCATCACGATAAAATCTGCTCTTTGGTTCTCAGATACTCTTGCTTTATGTGACCCACGCTGATGATAGTTATACAAGGTCGACAATATTAAACTAATACAAAAAAGTCTATCCTTTACTGAAGATCTCTAGGTACGTTTCCAGAAAGTAATTTTTTTTTTTGATACTCAATGTTTGCTGGCAGAGAAAATGTGCCTTAAGTTTGTTTTTATTTAAGTCTGATTAATCACTGAAAGAACCAATGCTAGATAATAAGGCTAGATCTAATTTCCCCCAAGCCCTTTCTCTCTTGTTTTAATTTTGCATGGTCATCACAGACTGAATACTGTACATGTATTTAGGCACTTACATGCCGATGGCTGCCTTTGGTTAAACATATTCCAAGAAGGAACTCAGTCCAGCTGTGGATTTTGTTACCAATAATTGCTGCTGTATTTCTTATTTCAAATGACGTGAATGTATGTTACTGTGAAATCACTGCCAAGGTGGTTCTTCGCTGTGCACTTGTAGGCGCCAGAATCTGAGGGCCGGGGGTTCTGGATGAGTAAGGTCCCGTGGGGATGAAGCAGTTGGCTCCCAGAGGCTCGGCTGTGGTGACCTGTAGAGAGCACCGAGCGGTCAGGTAATTCCCAGGTGATCTCTGGCTTTGGTATTCCCAGCGCTATGCAGTGGAGCTGGACTGCTGCACCGGGCAGGGTGTGTATGGTCTGTGGTGGTCTGTTGGTGATCCTGGGGGGATAGGCTACGATAACCACCGGGACAGTTACAGAGGAGTCCCCGGCGTCGTTGTGGGCCTTACACACGTAACTCCCTCTGTCGTGAATGGTGGCTTCTCGTATAACCAAAGTCCCGTTCTCCAGCAGGATGTATTTCCTGTTGATCTGCGGTCGATCCAGCACGTGGCCGCCCGGCAGAGTCCAGGCTGTTTTTGGTTTGGGACTCCCATCAGACAGGCAGTGAAGCGACAGTGACTCCCCGCTAATGCCCTTCACTGGCCCCTTGGGGTGAGTGAGGATAGTGGGCTTCTGGGCAACCTCCAAGATGATCAGCTTTTCAATGTACCCAACTTTATTCCTGGCAGCACAGCGATACTTCCCTGCTGTGTCTCTATCGGGATTATAGACGGTAAGGGTACCGCCGCTACCCGTGACAAACTGGGAACTCTGGATGCCCCCAGAAAACCATGTGCCATTAGGCAACATCCAGCTTATGTCAGGTGGAGGGTTTCCATCCACAGAACAATTCAATGTGGTAGTTTTTCCAGGTTTTGCTATTATTTTTTCATTGAATGGATTTTTAAACATCGGCCGTCTTAGCATTTCCAATACCTCCAGCTGCACCACCAACATACTCTCTCCCCCATCGTTACGTGCCACACAGATAAAATCTGCTGTGTCAGAAGGCCTTATGTTCCGAATCTCAAGCGTTCCATTTTTGTGCACTGCAATCCTGCTCCCATAATATGGAGCCGTTAGGAAAATATTATCGGGCATGATCCACATAATCTGAGGGGGAGGTGTCCCTTCTGCCCTACAGTCAATTTGTTTCTTCGAATGCTTCACTGCTGTCACTTTCATGATTGTTTTGTTTGCGTATAAACCATTTATGATGGGTGGTTTAGCAACAACATCCAGTTTATACAGCTTTGTGTCATCCCCTCCAGGATTACGAGCAACACACATATACTCCCCAGCATCCAACAGTTTGACTTGACTGACCGATAGAGAACCATTGACGTGCAGGAAGTGCCTGTCTGTTGACGAGGAGATCATGTCACTGGAAGGGAGCAACCAGAATATTTTTGGCTTGGGTTCTCCAACAGCTTCACAGTCCAGTAATGCCATGTCTCCAGCTTTCACTTTAATGTATGTCTTGTAATTGTGCTTTATCTGAGGGGCTGCCATGACGACCGTGATGCGTATCTTCATTTCGTCTCTTCCCAGTGTGTTTTGAGCATAGCAGGTATAGTCTCCTCCTTCTGTTACTCCAACTTTGTTGAGATAGAGGGTTCCATTGTCAAAGAGGATGTACCTGCGAGACCTGTGTCCACTGTCATCTGCCAGCATCGCGTTATTGATCACTGTCCCATCTGGCAAACCCCAGGATATTTCTGGTGCGGGTGACCCAGAGGCCTTGCAGTCCACTCTGAAATCTTTTCCATATGGCACCAATTTCTTGAAATACTGTTTCTGGTCAATCTTGGCTGGTTTCATTGTGATGCTGACTTTCATTAGTATCAGATCATCGCCAATTTTGTTTCTTGCGACACACAAATAGTCACCTGCATCCTTTTCAGTAACTGCATCAATAACCAAGGATCCATTGGGGTAGACACGGATTCGACTTCCCATTCTGTTACAGGGGGAGAAAGAGGAAAAGAATTATGGAACAAAAGGCTGGAGGTGAATACTGAGCACTGGAAGTGACCGACAATATTAACAGCATGATGGGATACAGAAGCTCTCTCCAAAGGCACTGTGTCCACATCACTGCAGGGTTATAACCTGAGGTAGCTGTTACGTGGATGTGCCCGAGCTCACTGACTCTGCCCAGGTGTGCAAAGCTGCACGATGCCGCCTCTGCCGTGCTGAAAACTCTTCTGTGACCAAATGAGCCTATTGAACCTTACGTCCCTCACCCCACCAGCCTCTGCTCCTCTGTCATGCAGACAACCCACAATACTTGCCCCCAGCTGAGGGCAGCTGGCAGTGCCACCACGTGTTCTCCACAACAACACTTGGCACCGAGTGATGACTCTCTGTCTGCCTTTCCTGCAGCAGGGCATGGACCTGGATCTCCCTTGGCCCAGCTGTAAGTTCTCATGAGCCTGCTGGGAACATGCTGACCTGGGACTGGCTCTCCCAAAGCAAAGGGGGAATGTTACTGTGGGAGGAGGCATGGCTGGGAAGCCCTCAAAGGTAGACTCGGCAGAGACTACAGAAGCCTCTTCCTCCCGAGTCCTACTATAAATAACTTTACCTCCTACAAAATGACAAAATTCAGCCAATGCATTATTAGTGTCAGTTTCCTTAATTCAAATACAACTTGTATCCATTTTGGCAAGACCTCACCCCCTTATGACAGTTGATGTGATCTGTTATTAGACCTATAATAACAAGCCTACATCACAGATGTTTCACCACTGTTAAACGTTTAAAAGTGAATTTACTTCACAATGTAATGTTTCAGTGATGTAACAGTCACTTATATAAGCACCAGAGAAGACAGTGGTTGAAGTTTCAGAGAGGTGATGGTGGGGGGAAAAGCTCCTACCTGTGCCACTGGTCAACAACTGCCTTGGAAGGTAACCTCCAGATGATCCTGGGCTTTGGCTCCCCAGTTGCTGTGCAGTTCAGAAGCAACTTATCCCCAAAATTCAACCGAGTAATTTCTTGAGAAGCAGTAGCTATTTTTGGAAGCATATCTCTGTGTTCCACCACGAGGCTTACCACCCTCCTTTCGGAGCCAGTCGAGCTTGTGGCAATGCACTCGTAATTCCCGCTGTCAGAAGGAGCGACGTTGCTGAGGTGGAGGGTACCATTGGAGAACAGGAACAGCTTTGCGTTTACAAACTGCAGAGGTTTCACCACCGTGCCATCAAAGAGAACCCAGTGGACAGTGGGCTGAGGATTCCCTTTCACAGTGCAGGGGAATTTCAAATTTTCCCCCATCATTCCTTCAACACGTTGTCTCTTCTCTTCCAGAATAGCAGGAGGTGCTGCGATGACCTGCAGTTTTACAACCAGTGTGTCAGTGCCCGCTGGGTTTTTAGCCATGCACGTGTAGAGGCCCCTGTCGTAAACAGTGACTTCCTTGATAATTAAAGTGCCATCTGGTTCCACATAAACTTTGCTATTTCCTGCAGAAGAGTCAGAAATGTGTGTTTTATTTGCTAGAACCCACGAGATGGTGGGAGGAGGCCTGCCCTCAGCTCTGCACTTCACTGCCACCGGCTTTCCAGAATGAGCAGTGAGGAGCTGCCACCTGCCACCGGTGATGCGGGGTGGGTAGGCCACTACCGACAGGGTGACCAGGAGCCGTGCCACGCCGTGTGGGTTGGCTGCGGTGCACAGGTACTGTCCCCGGTCCTCCAGGCCCGCCCGCGCGATGGAGAGCGTGCCGTTGGCAAACACCATCCATCTGCCGTCACCTCGGCCATCCAGAGCATTGGTGCCTATGGAAGCAAGGGGGCAACAGCGCAGCACGTTACAGCCTCTCTTTTCTGTTTCTTTGTACTCAGCCCTTAAAAACCCTTCCCCTACCCAAATAACTAAGACGCTAGTGATTAGAAAGAGAAAAATAATAGTATTTTGCATATACCGTGACAAAGCTTTAAAGTAAAACCAAAACTTAGTCCTCAGTAGAGACAAAGTTTGGATAAAGCAGATGGGGCTTTACATATCCAAAAATAGTTTGGTGTAGTTTTGACTAGGTTTTGCATATTCAAATATATTTTGGCATAGCTTTAACTTGATTTGATGGTTTGTTGCCACAGACAGATTTTTCTTTTCATTTGTCTCGCTGTTCTGAAATAGCAGGTAACATACAATAAATACTGAAATCGTCTCATAATAAGTACAGAATTATAGTTAAATATAGATCATATGTTTCCTTCTCCCTCCCCCTCACCCCACCAAAGGAACTGTTTCATAATCAGCAGTAAGACACTCCAGCAAGTATGCTGGGCTATCTTTTTTTTTCACTGTTTCCAACTTCATCTTTTCACTGATATTTCATGGTACTCCTAAACAAAGCAATACTTGTGTTTGGCACACAAAATATCTGCCAAGACTATAATGGAAGGTAAATTCTAGAGAGGTTTCTCAAGCTTACCTGATGATATCTTGGTCCACTGTATTGTTGGACGGGGGTTACCAGTAGCTTCACAAGGAATAAAAGCATCTGAATTAGCTAGCACGGTGAAAGCAGCTAATTTGCCTCCAATTATTCTGGGCTTTGCAAAATGATTTCTGCTCAAAAAGTCCAAGGCTCTAGGACTGTTTGTGGTAGTTCCTTGATCCTGTCTCTTTTCTGACCAGCCTTTGACAGAACTGTCCTTGTCCCTTCCCCACAGAGGAGCATAGGGCGTTGTGATCCGTGATGGTAAGGTCAGTGTATTGACAGTTAATGTGTTGTCTCTCTCTGTGACTTTAGCAGAGGGCCTCTGCCAGAATTTGATTTCCCCTGATGGAGGCAAGGTGGTTCTCACAGCACGTGCAGGCGGCACAACTGCTGTTGGAGCTGGTAGGTGGGTGGGATGCTGAGCGCCGGGAGGAGACATGGCTGTGGATGCAGAAGGAGCTCTGGCACTTGACTCAGTTCTTGCTGGGAATGTGGGCTGCGCAATGTGGTTTTCTTGGATAACTCTCTCTTCCATTTTCAGGTGTGATTTTTTACCTGCTGTTGTGGTGGCTTTGATTTGCTGAGCAGGTTCTGACCCAGATGTTGCACAGACTGTGGCAGGTCTCACGGTTGTGGTGCTGAAAGGCTTTGAAAGCAGTGGTGTGGTTTGACTTGTGGTGGTGGGGCTCCAAGCAATAGGAGTGTCAGGGGCTGACGGGGTGTTCCTCTGTGTAACAGGGGTCACTGACGTCTGTGTGGCTGCTGTAGGCACGGGCTGAGGTGCCTCTGGTGTGTTAAGGCTCCACAGTGCTGGCATTTCTGTCACCGAGGCTGCACCTGCACTCTCAGAGACAGGTTTTGGAGGGGTAGGACCTGTAGGCATAGTCAGTGATGGAGCTGTTGTCACGACAGGCGTGGCTGCATTCACAGCAGGAGCTGCTGCGGCGCTGTGGCTGGCAGTCACGCTTTGTGAAGGAGATGTTTTAGGGGGCCTCTTCCTCCTCTGACCTCGCTTTCTTCCTGCTCTGAGTGTTTTACTTTTGGTGATTCTGGTGTCAGTGTGAGGAGTAATAATAGGTGTAACTGTTGGCTTCAAACTTGCTACATCCGTTTCTTTGGTTGCACTAGTTGCAGGATTAGAGTAAGACTGCGGATTTGGTGTAGGAAGATGTTCTTCTGATCTACTACTGCCATAATGAAAGGGTTTGTTTAAAGACAGTAAACCACTGCTGTGATTCCCACTTGTTGAAGTAGGCGTAAAGTGCAAGGGAGACGTTTTGGACATAGATAATGCTGCCGTAGTTTTAGGAAGTATGGTCAATACCTCTGTTGATAGAAACACATCTGGCTGTTGGGTTGGTAGCTTCCGAAGAAGGAGGATCTCTTTTTGTGCATCATTTCCAAACAGACGTTCCCAAGTAATATTTCCTCCTTGAGAATTTTTTGCTGAGGTTCTAGACTTAATGCTGGGTGAGACTGATTCAAGGGTAGAAGATACCTCAGTGCTTTTGGTATGTGTAATTTCTGTTGTCATATGAGCTGTATGGGTTGCCATTGTTGGTTGTCTGATGCTAAAAGGTTGGACTGTATCAGTAGTTGTTTGAAATGAAGTGCTGGTGTCTAATTTCCATTGAGGAGTATCATGAGTGCCTTCTGTAATTAAAGGCATTACTGTTGTAGTAGCTTTTTGCCTTGCACTAGCTCTGTTTTTCTCTTCCCTGAAGAATGCTGTGTTTTGATGAGTACCTGCTGTGTGCTCCAATGGCGTATTCATGATAGAGGGGGAGGACAGAGGTGCTTCTGGGCTAAATGGGTCTATGGAACTGCTTAAATTATTTAAAATTGGTATGTTTGATACATTTTTCACATTCAGTTGAACATCTGCAGACACAGCTGTACTTCCTCTGACAAATCCTGGCCTCCCAAAATTGTATCTGTGTTCTTTCATACTTGGAATACGTCCTGGTCTAACAATTCGTCTCCTACCAGAAATTTTCCTTCGTCTTCCATATTGCTGCTGGGCCTGGGGTGTGTGAGTTCTCACATCCTGAATAGCCTGAATTTGCTGATGAGTAGTGACAGTTGAGTCCAATGGTGGCTTAGGAGTTACTTGTTTTGGAGTACTGTGAAAATATATGTGACCAAATTCAGGACTTGGCTCACTGACTGTCACTACAGGTATCTGGTGATCTGTTTTGGTGGAAATCTTATCAATAGACTCAGTAAAAACATGTAGCTTGTCCACTGTGTTCTGGGAAGTTACGAACTTTTTGGTGTCTGTAACATCTGTCATGGGTGTTGTAGATACAAATTTTAAATGGTGGTTATTACCTTCCCCAGAATATACCAGCCTTTGCTCAGCTGGGAAGGGTGTAGATGTTTTACTTGCTCCACTTGATAAAGTTGTTTGTTTTATACCCTTTGCTGATACTTGATTTAAGTCAGATCTTTCCCATGAGTTTGTAATGGTAGGGTTTAGGTATGTTTGTGGCCTTCTGCTATCAGGTGACACAGATGGTGCAAAAGGAGAGGGCAGGGGAGTTACTGCCTCTGAAACCAGGAGAGAGATTTTCCTCCCAGGAGTGTTACTTGCAGTCATCTCAGGCTCTGCAGTTACCACGCTTTCCATTGCTCTCCCCAGAGTAGATACAGTGGCTGTCTCTGTTACTGGTATCATGAATTCTTCTTCTGGAGATACGAGGTCACCAGATGTTTCCTCCTCATCCCCAGGTACTTCTGAGAACTTACGGTCTTGAATGGGTGGTTTCGTTGCAACTTCTCCTTGTTTTTCTATCAATGTTGAGTTCCTCTTTGTTTTTTCCAAAAAGGCTGCCCAGCGCTCTGGATCAACTCTCCTGGCTGAGGAAACAAACTGTCTTCTGTGTCCTCTAAACCGCCTGCTTATTTTGTCCTTGTAGTGCCTGTAAGTAATTTTCCCGTAGCTGCTCCTTCTATGTGCACTCTGTGCGATGCGATTCCTGGACACTGAGGCAGCAGATTCCTGATGAGCTGGAGTTATGTGCACTCTGTGCGATGCGATTCCTGGATGCTGAGGCAGCAGATTCCTGATGAGCTGTCAAGGTAGCTGGAGAAGCTAAAGGATGTTTCTGTCTTGTAGCAGAGGCCAGCATTGCATTGCCAGAGCCATCGCCCTCTTCCCATTCTCCCACAGCTACCAGCTTTTTCTTTAGAGTGGTTTCATCCTTTCTAACTAGCACTTGGAAAACCAAAAGATCGACACCGTACTGGTTGGCTGCAACACATCTAAAGTAGCCACTGTCTCGTGCTGTTACCCCTTGTATTCTCAAGGTACCATTGTCAAAAATGTGTTTGTTTCTTACGGAGTGATGAAGAATCACGTGCTGAGGTAACACCCAGCTAACGGCAGCATCTGGAGCAGCGGTGGATGCACAGGGAAGGTAGAGAGTGCTGCCAACAAACGTAGAAACTTTGGCTCCATTTACACTGTTGTGTTCCACGTAAGGATCAATCACGGTTATTCTAAATGTGAGAGTATCTGCATCGTTGTAATTTGTGCCTATGCAGTGATAAAGCCCAGTGTCAAAAGTATCAGCTGTCCGTAACGTGAATGTGCCGGTTTTAACTACTATGATTCTTCCATCCTCGCTGATGTAAGGAGCTCTGACTTTGCTCCCATCAGCCAGTATCCACTCTATGGCAGGAGCTGGTTCTCCAACTGCTTGGCACTCCAGTTCTACGGTCCCACCAATTAAAACCGTGTGCTCCGTTTGTGTTTTGTTGTCCCTGGAGATGATGGTCCAGTTATTTCTCACCTGTTTTCTGTCAGCGCTGGGCAAAGTAATCTGAGCATCCGTGAAGTACTGGATGTGCAGTGTGTTCAGTGTGGTTGCTGTCCTGTCCAGCTGTAATGCCACTTTGCTTTGCATTAACCAAGATGGTTCAGCTCTCAGTTCGGTCTCTATATTGGTAAAAAGTTCATCTTTCTCAGAGTAGATTTGTTTATATTTGTAACTAATAAAAGGCACGTTAGTTGTTAGGTAATTCCTTTCCAGTTTTAAGGGAGAATTACTGTACAGTGCCAGGATGCTCCATAGCTGCTGAATATGTTCATAGTCAATGCTACACAAAAGAAATGCCGAGAACGATGTTTTGAGTACTGTACTGTTGCCACTGTTGTCAAATGAGATGGGAGACATTTCTTTAGGTTTTTGGATGTTGCAAACCAAGTTACCTCGACTCCCTGCTTGGTCAGTCATGTTCAAAACCATGAATCCTATAGGAGCTATGAAGTCCTTGGGAGAGACAGAACTCAAATCCCCATCATCTGGCACTGTGAGGTTTTTCAATTTTAGGGAGTCGTGTATGGCTGGCTTAAAGCATGTTAAAGATGCAGAAGGAATACCCACTAAGCCTTTCCCTTTATGATTTTTGGGACTAGCACAAACTGGACATTGCTGAGCACCAGAACTTCTGTCTTTTTTGCACTTTAGAGCATCTGAAGGGAAGAAAAATGCAGTCAGCTTCTGTGATACAATTTTTAAAAAACCACATAGCTACCAGCAAGTTGTTCTCTTGAATAAAATACTAACAACGTTCATCTTAAAGTAACCTCTGAAAACCTAAACCTAAGAAAACCGATGAATTTTCTTCGATGAAACTGTTCAAGGACTGTTGCTATTGCAGCTCAGTGTGGTGTCCTTCTGTCCCAGTGGTTTGACACCAGGCAAGGTGGACTCTGCTGTGGACACAGGCTCTAGCAGTCTGGGGGTAACACTACACCGTCATGTGCAACCTCTACTCAGGGTAGCCACAAAGTCCTTGAGTCCCTTTCCTTTTGATTTTGAATAATTGAATATAATGTGGTCTTCACTGTGGCCAGTTACATAAAAATTAGCTTCCTTATCTCCTGTGGATTCTCCTGGTGCACAGAAACTTTGGACTGGCCAAGGAAAATGTTCCATTAAGGAAAGCTGCACTTGGAAATGGGTTAAGACCACTAGATTAATTTAATCTAGGAAAGTAAATGGTATTAATCTGTTTATCCTGATTACATGCACCTACAAAAATCTTGTCTTCCAGTCTTCTATGGGAGAATAAATAAACAAATGCCAGTTACCTTTATCAGAAAGAATAAGATGCTGTAACATGATTAAAAAGCATAAACAAAGCCTTGGGCTCACCTGGTCTCTGCTTTGCCCATTCTGCAAACCACTGTAGATTGCAATCACAGGACCATGGGTTTCCATGAAGGTAAATGCTCTCTAGCTCAGACATGTAGGAAAACATTTCTTGTGGTAATGAAGTCAACACGTTGTCAGACAAATATATGTGCTTCATGGAGGATATTTTAAATATTTGGCTGTAGCGCAAGGTGACAAAGGTATCTGGATGAAGCTGCTTAAGTAAATTTCCTTCCAAGTGGACCAACCTCAGTGATGTGAGTCCATAGAAAACATTGGGATTTACAAATTCAATTTCATTGTGGTCCATATGTAACCGTACCAAGCTCCTTAGACCATAAAAAACATCCTGCTGAAGTACTCTGACCTTGTTGTAACTCATTTTTAAGACCTGTTGATGGAAAAAGTAACAAGTGTATAATATTAACCCATGTTATATTGTTATAAGACTCCTAACAAATTTTGATTGATGGTTACTCTGTGACGTGAAATTACTTCACCAGACTAGTAATGCAAGTGATTGGGGAAAAGAAACTTAGTATGAGAAATTATTTTTAAATGCAGTGTTACTTGCAGGACTACAAGGATGTTTTCTTGTTCCAACAGTCCATCAAGGTGACACTTCAGCAGTCACATTTACAAAATGCAGTGATTAAAAAATATAATAAAGCAATGCTTATTTCTCATTCAAAAATTCCTAATTAAACCACACTTATGGAAAGGGTAAGCAGAATATGACCATAAACTGTGGTAGTGTTTTTTGTTCCACCCAGGGTTATGACTATAAAAATGCATGCGCAGTCTGTTTTGTTTGAGGGTTAACCAACAGAACTGCTAAGTGTGTTCCCAGTTTCAGAATCTGTGTCCTGTGAGATGTGCCAGACCTCTGCTCTCAGGTGCCATTTTGTTGCTGACAGGTTGAAAGTCAAATTTGTAACTATGAGATGAACAAATCTGCTGAAGTACTAAATATGGTACCCAAGACAGCCTTTTTGTTGTTACTTTTCCTGTTAGAATTATACTGTTACAGTCACAAATTCTGTATTTTGAAAATAAGGAAGGGAAAAAAGTACAAAATCACAATAACCTGCAAGTTTATTTGCCAATTATAATTCCATTAAAACTATCTGTAATTTTGTTGTCATCTTGCTTGATGATAAGGGAGGAAAAGCTCATAGGACTCCATAAAGCTTATTTCATTAAGTCAGTTGCAAGGAGTTAACAAGCAAGCTTTCAGGCACAGACCTGCCCCTTTTGAGGGTTAATGGAACCTGAAGATCTGTGTGCTCCAAAGCTGGTCTGGTTTCTTCTTTTCCCTCCCACCCCTAATCCTCTAAACCCAGCAACTGAGCCAATACCCTGTTTTCTGTCTGAGCAGTTCAGGTCTCTCATATTCTTAGTTCACCACAGCTGCAACATTATTACTTCTCTGTGGCAGTTAATAACAGCTCTAGATGGAAAATTAACTGGAGAACAGAGCATTACCTGTACATCGAATTCATTGGGAATGGTTCTCCGAACCAATCATGTAAGTACTTCTTTATATATAAGTATCTATATGGCCCAGTGAGATACTGAGATGGCTTCAGAATCTATGACACCATACATTTACCGATTTTTAAAATATATTTAAATATAGGTAATAGTTTATAAATAGTAATATTTCAGTTAAAAAACAAAACAGGCATCGAATACTACATTTTGAAAGTCTACAAATATATGTTAAACTATAAAACCAATGAACTGTAGTTTTTTTTAAAGCATTAAGATGTTTATATGTAATATGTTCAGTTTCTGTTCAGTAGGAGCCTTTTTTTTAATGAAAGACAGAAAGGGACAGGATTATACTGCACTGAAGGGAAATCTGGATGGAAAATAATCCTCAAAAAAAACCATAAATTGACTAACAAATTAACTAAAACCAAGTTGCAGTACTTGGAGCTCTGCAATCTTTCTCTCTCATGCAAAAGAGCATCTCAGATGCAGTTGCCTGTTCAGATATTGCTGACAGATATCTACTAATATGTTCGCTACACTCTTTAAACTGTACCTGAATGCCCATTTGGGAAGGAAAGACATTTCCTATTAGGATACTGGATCTTGGAGGCCCTCATCTTTCAGGTGGATGCAATAAGAAACAGGAAACCAAAATGCTACAGACTACTGGTCTGTTTCCATTTATCAGTATTACTGCAGATTGTTTAAAAGACATAACAAAAATTAAGATTAGGTTATCTCCTAACTAAGATTAGGTCATTTAGTTCTTACCTGTAATGAATATAAGTCACTGAACACCTTATCAGGGATTGTATTTATCTCGTTGCTGTGCAGCATCAGTAACTCCAGTTTCTCCAGGCCAGAAAAATCCGTTTCCTTCAGTTTAAGCAAGCTGTTGTAACTGTAACAAACATTTCATCCCAGACCAGCTTAACTTTACAAGTTTTCAAACAAACAAACCAACCCAAAACAAAAGGGTAACTCTTTGGAAAGGCATAAAGGTAGGTGGCACTTGTGGTTGCTATGATTAAATTTTAAGCTATTCCTTCCTGTTAATGCAAGATTTGGTAACTTTTCCAGGGCAGCTTTCTGAAGACTGTCTTTCACAGTGGATTGGGAAAATAACTGCAAAAATGTGCAGACAAGAATGCTAGTTCGGGTTTCGACGCAGAAGAGCAAGGAGTTCCTGTAATGGTAGAGATTGGTGATACATTGACACCTCTTTCCCAGCACTGCAGTATCACAGAGAGGACCATAAGCACCAGAGAGCCTCCTTTGCTGGCCACCGAGAACAAGGTAAAACCAAGGGTGCTGGGGTGTGACCTTCCTCCTGGGACCTGGATGATGAGGGCTGTGCCTAGGGTTCTGCAGAGTGTCGTGGTGTCCCTCCCTGGTCCCTGACTATGCCATCTGCCCTTTTCAGCTCTCCATTTTGAATTTCGTTTCCACTCCAAAGGTGTTGAATGGTGCACGCTACTTGTTAACGCAGACCTATCCTCAGCCTTCTCTGATCTCCATGAGCACTGATACAGTATAGATATCCTAAGCTGGATTTAAATGGGGAACCAAAAATGAAACAGAGCCCCCCTTTGAGTGAGAACCGCACTGCACAGCGGTGACAGGTAAGTTGGATCAGATCAGATAGATGGCCAGAGTAGTAATTAATGTATTTCAAACATATGTCTCACACCTCAGATAACTCATAGTCCTCTAAAAGTACTGGTACTTAAGTGTAAAACTTCATATATAGCACTTCTGGTCAACACTGACAAAATCAATGGAAGGAAAGGGCAGACAGGAGTCAGGAGCTGGGATCTGGATATGTTGCCTGGAAGCAGAAGGCAGATGAAGGGAAGACTTCAATGAAATCTTCCTTTTATATTTTCTGCATACGCATATGGACGACTCAACGGTTACGTGTAGCAAAAGTGATGCAAGGATCAGTCAAATATTGCTGATTGGTCTTGCCATTCGATTGTATGAGAGAGGGTACTTGCTGGAAATTGCATTAACAGGGCAGCTGAGCCTGGGTATAGTTCCTTTTAACCACTCACAGAACAGAACCATTTTGAAGGCTGAAATACTCAGGCAAGTTATTTCCCAATAACTCAATAGATAAAAACAGATATTAGCATTGTGTGACATTTTAAAGTCACATCAAAGTCTCTGAAGATTTTAATACACATATTCCAGCCCACTCTCTGAGCTCTGAACTATCTTTTCCCAGAGAGAATTCTCCCTATTTCAGAATCCTTCTGAATGTCATGTTACAGATGCAAAATGTTTGGATAGTATACAGGAATTCATTTGAGTTTCAAAACGTTTTGAAGTTGTTGCATGCCCTGTGATACATCCCCAAAATTTCCCCTTAGTGTTGGAGGTCTTAGGCTTTGCTAGCTGTGACTGCAACTACTTCTGAGTACTGCAGAACATTAAGCTCTTAAGATTTATTTATTGCTTTGGTTAATTTCTAGCCCTGAATCTGTAAACTCATAATTATTGCTTTGCAAAGTGTTGATATTTAAAATCTCGATTTTAAAATCTCGATGTTAAACATACCCCAGATTGATGCGCTCCACGTTTGGGGGGATGTGTGGTGGGACGGCTGTGAAGTACCGGAACGTGCAGTGCACCTCGGTGGGGACGTAGCAGGCACAGAGCCTGGGACAGGCGCTGCTGCCGGGGAGGGCGGCCAGGCAGAGGGCGATGAGGGTCCCCAGGCACCAGGGTCTGCCTCTGCGCATTGCCTTCATCCTGCAGGGAAACACTAGGCTGCCATCCTTCACAGCAAAACCCAACAAACAGAGTCCTACAAGGGAAACAAAGCACACAAGCGTTTACAGTGAGTCGAGTCGCTCAGTTTTAAGCCAGAAGCACAAGAAGAATTTTTTAACTTGAGAGAAAAACCAACCCATAAACCAGACCCCCAAACTCTTGGTTTTCCCTTCAGTTTTCAGATCTGCGTAATGACCTAAAATGCTTGTCGTTTAAAGAAACAGCCTCACAATTTCTTCGTCTCAGCGCGATGTGCCCCGTGCGTTGTTGCTTACAGGTAGTTTTAATTTTAGAAGGAAGCAAACGTGGAAGCTGTAGTGTGTGGCTGTGGTTGCATCACGGCTCTGGCTACGCACAGCGTGTATAAATCTGCTAGCAATTTATCCTCGGGAAGGCACACGTCAGCTCCTTTCTTGCCAGTAATTATTCCAAACAAAATTAACTAATTTCAAAGCCCGCGCTCAGAGCCGCCGAGCGGCGGGAGCGGCCCCTCGCTTCCCGCAGCGCTTCCCCGGGACCCTCGGCCGGGGACCGGCCACCGGCTCCCGGTCCCCACCTGCGCCGGGAGCGGAACCCCGCGGCCGCGCCGGCACCTGGCCGGGGGCGTCCCGGCGGGCAGAGGCCCGGCC